GATTATTCTGAGTCGAAAAGTCCTGAACCATTTTTTTCTATTACATATGATAAAGGAGTAATTATTGAATAAAGTAAGCCAATCAGCGCCGACCTTTAGCCGAACGCACGTCAGTGAGCCGCGCGCCTGATGTGCGTGAGCGCTCTGCGCGGCTCACTGACGTGCGTTCGGCTAAAGATCGGCGCTGATTGGCTTACTTTATTCAATAATTACTCCTTTATCATATGTAGTAGAAAAAAATGGTTCAGGACTTTTCGACTCAGAATAATCCCTTCTACCTACCTACGAGCGGTTAGACGGTCATTATCAGACACCCTGTATATGCTAAATAGTCCTAATAAACTGATAAACATTAATAATAACATAAATAACTTCTCTATTATGTGGTCTCTTAATAGTAAATGTTTATAATTGTACATATCGTACTATTTACATAGTGTAAATCAGTAAAGAGTGAAAATCAAACAAGTGGGATTCAATGCAAATAAAGTAGATGTCAACAAAATGGATAAGGTTTACAAAGACATGAAAGTGGAACTTGAGCACTCAACCGTGGATAATAGTTTGCTTAACAGTGATAATAGCAATATACCATCAATGATAATAGAAGAATTGGATGAAAATGCTATTAAATCATTGGATGTGGATATGGATGAATTTGTTGAAGTTAAAACATTACAAATACAGGAAGTAAAAGAACTTATTCCCAAGTATGAATTGACTCCAATATGTAATTCTAAAGATGTTAAGGATATGGAGGATCAAGATGTATTGTTAACTGCGGATGAAGAACATCAATTGACAAAGCAATTTTTAAACGGAGAATTAACATTTAGTGAATATTCGTCCAGAATGGATCAAGATATAGACTTGGATATAACAGAAAATGATAATATCAGGTATGATGATAAAAAATAAAAACAATAGAGATATATGTTTCATTAAGATTCTCCCAACTAATGTTCAGTAATGTTTCTAGAAGTGATATAAAAACAGAATGTGAAACTGTACAAACAATTGCTGATCTAAAGTCACAGAAAACAAGCAATGTGCAACAGGTACGACAAAAAAGAAAAAGACGCACTCTACCGACAGTTTTGCAAGGATTAATGGGAGAAGCAAATTTAAGATTTGCAAAAGGGGAGACAAATAATGCGGAGCGAATATGTATGGAAATCATAAGGCGAGTTTTTTAAATATCACAGGCTGATATAAAATACATGTAAATGTTTCTACAAAAAAGTTGTATGATAATTCCTTAGCAATTTGTCAATTGTTTGTTTTTAGAGAAGTACCAAGCGCTCCGGAACCTTTTCAGACACTAGCTATGATTTACGAAAATGATCAGCCGGAAAAATCATTGCAATTTGCGCTGATAGCTGCGCATCTTAGTCCGAAAAATGCCGATCAGTGGATAAGATTAGCTAATCAATCTCTAGAAACCGGTAATATAAAGCAAGCGATAACTTGTTACTCAAAAGCAATTCAATCCAATCCAAAGGATATACATTTATACGAGACGCGAGCGGAACTTCAAGAACTGAATGGTGATAAGAAAGCTTACATACGAGCGTATACGAAGTTGATTCATCAATTAGAAACTGACGATAGCGAATACATAAAGAAATATGCGAAAGTGTTGATCAAACATTATATACAGGAAGACAATACTGAAATGGCGTTGGAAGTGATGGAGTTTGTCTTCGACAAGTGTTCCCATGTTATCACATTGGAAGAGGTTAATATTATGACCGAATTGTTAATAGTATTGAAGCAATTTCAGAGATGCTTGAGTATATTGATCAAATATACAGACATTGAGGTACAATATAAGGATAATAAAAAGCAGGAAAACACAGTCGACAATGAGACAAATCAAAATATTGAGGAAATAGAATCTTGCAATATTCCAGACAATGTGGCTGTCGATTTGAAAGCAAAGTGTATCATAACTCTCATTGAACTGAATTACATTCGCATAGCGGACGAACTTGTCTCGAAATTTCATATGCTCGAGAATCCAGAAATATCCGGAGATCTCTTTTTGGATATTGCGGAGACGTTTATGGGTAAGAAAGAGTATCACCGTGCATTGGTTTTGTTGGATCCGTTACTCAAAAGTCCGAAGTTTAGTCTGGCCGCAGTTTGGCTGAGACATGCGGAATGCTGGGTCGGTTGCAATGATATAGACAAGGCCATAAACTCTTACAAAGTTGTCCGGACGTTGTCGCCACAGCATTTAGACGCAAGATTGGCTCTCGCCAAGCTTTATAAAGAGAAACAACTTTACAACAATGCGATAGAGGTTCTCTATCAGAATCCAGAATGCGACGAATTAGATCCCGATGTCGTTTATCAGAGAACCTTGTTGCTTTTTAAAGTCGGAAGATACGAAGAATATTTTTCGTCGGGAATGTTACTTTTTTCAAGACATTGTGTCAAGATAAGAAGGAAGATCGAACTGAATTCATTGGCACGCGCGGCGGGAGTGCGTCAACGACTCGAGAGTTTGCAACTTCGTCGTCTTAATTTCGGCGAAAAGTTGGACGACGAAAACGCTCCGACATTTATCGCCAATGAAAAGCCAAGCGAAAAGAAAGAATTCCTACTGTTTTTACAGATGTGCAAGCTAGCATTTCAATTGAAAAAGTACGGTTTCCTCCAAAGACTGTCTTTCACCGCTCTGACATCGAAGAGGTTTAAGAAGAGAAATTCTCACATACTTTTTTTATGTTTGCTCTCTTGCATTCACAACCAGGACTCGTTCTACGGCTACAACATCGTGCGAGAATTCGTACGTGTCTGTCACCGACCGAATGTGTGGAATTTATTAAATATCATCATCCAAAGGGCGGAAGATCTGAGGCATAACAGATTTATAATGCGTTTACTTGGAAGAGACGATATATTTTCTTACTTGCATATTATGCATGCGAACAACTGTCTTGTATCGGGGACGTACAAATACGCTTTAAATAGCTACGTTTCTTTGTTCAAAGTAGCACCCAGTGCACTTTTGGCATTGTTAATTGGCGTTACACAAATGCAAATGGCGTGTCAAAGAATAGCGTCTAAGAAAACTCCACTTGTAATTCAAGGTATGTAACTATAAATATACGAATTACATAAGTAGAAGTATAAAAATTATAGATTATAAATAATTTCGTACATAAAATATTGAAACATTTTAAAATCAACAAAACAAGAGGCTATTTTGAATAATTATCTATACATTAACGATTAAAAATTCTAACATGATACAATACAGTGTGCGAAAACAAATTATACAATATATATTTCATAATTTTTGTTTGATTTAGCGTTCGCGTTTTTAAAAAAATACGCAGAATTACGTGGCAAAGAGGGCGAACAAGAAGCAAATTACAATATAGCGCGGGCATTCCATCAGTTGGGTTTATTGCCATCTGCGATAAATTTCTACAAATTGGTATTGGACGAAGAACCTAGCGATCTAGTCAAACAGCACGCAAATCTTTTGGACCTGAGAAAGGAAGCGGCTTTCAATTTGCATCTCATCTATTTGCAATCTGACAATCATCTTCTAGCTAGAACGTATCTCGAAAATTATATTACAATTTAAATTAACAACGTGTCGCAGAAAGAACGTTTTTATTTAGTATGTTATTTGGTGTATTATAATACCGACCTAGTGCGGTTTGAGTGCGAGCGGGAGACCCCGAGTTTCAAATCCGCACTACCGGATTTTTCCCGGGCCGGTCTCTTTTAAGTCGAGTTTATCGCTTGAAAAGCAAACCGAATCGGGCCTTCCAATCAGCTTGAATTTGGTTGTGAAAGATGTGGATGAGGAATGTAAAGAAATATTGTAACTCTGAGGAGTATCAATAAAATTCCCTAATTCTTTATTTAGTGTGTTATATACTGTATTATTTACTGCATATTATTTGTACTGTTGTTATTTTTGTTTACACACATATGAATAAATTTAATTTTTCTACGATACATGTTTGTTCTTACTTTTGACCTTGTCTTATTTTGATCACGTTGAAGAAATTCAAATTTGACTTTAAACATCTCCGATTAAAAACTCAGAGATCAAGGTAATATAATTAATAATTAATTACATTTTTTTTCGGAAAACGTTTCGTGATTATCTTTTATTGATATCATGTTCATTCAGTCTGATAGCGGGTTGATAACAATGTGATATGACTGATAAAGAATGTTAATAAAAGACGTAATCAAGCAATTTAGAAAGACCAATTTAGTCGCTCGACTGATTTAGAGATTTTTCTTTAAAGGTGAGAGATGGCCACTAGTTTGGAAGCCAAGCTCGAATTCAAACAATTGTGCGACGTTTTGGAAAACATTACGAAATCACGTGAGTCTCGTAAGAAAACGCAATTTTTGCAAACGTACTTTGACAACTGCCGAAATATCAGCAACAAACTGAAAACAGAATGTCCCGAAGCGGTATGTAATTTTTATGACACGTGCTTGTACATATAATATATTTTTTGTGTGTGTTTCACTTTGTTGGATTCAATTTTAGAACGTGTCGTTGTATTCAATCGTAAGATTGATACTACCTAGCTACGAACGAGAACGCGGACCGCACAATTTGAAACAATATTCGCTGGCAAAAATCTACGCCAATATATTCGGCTTTCCAAAAACCAGCGATAATTACAAAACCCTTATGAATTATCGGTCAGTATTGCAAATGCGCGACGATAAATAATTGATAAATCGTTTGTCTAAGTCACTTTTTTTTAAACAAAATATTTTGTGGAAGATAACGATATTTAACTCGCGCGTATAAACGTACGTACAGTATATGTTTGAAAATGTGTGTGCAATGTATACATGAAATCTCTCCGCCAAAGATATGTGAATTCAATATTTTAGAGAACCTACTTCGGTTAAAACTACCGAGAATGACTTCGCTGACCGAGCTTATCGGTTACTCGCAAAACGTTTACCGCGAACGAGCACCGGTTTCACGATCGAACGGGTGAACGTGTTCCTCGATACCATATCCAATGCAAAGATGCAGGAAAAAGTGGAAACCTTTCGAGAACTCTTCCGACAGATCACGGGGCTCGAAATGAAATGGATAACGCGAATTGTTCTCAAAAACTTGCGACTCGGTATCAAAACACAAAGGATATTGGAGAGTTCGTATACAGTTCTTTCCCAAACATAGGGTAAAAAAAAGACCCAATTACTGTCACCTGAATAATAAACTCTGGCGTTAGTGAATTGTTTTTACTACTTATTTATCAAAAACATGTGTTTTTCTTCTTATCTGGTATTATTCGATGTCTCTAATATAAGGAACAAAATAATACCGCCTCTCAAAATCTCTATTTTCATTTATAAATTTAATAATTAAAAAAGAACGATGCGAGAGCTATTACTGTCACCCCCTAAAATGAAAGAAATGAGACACGAATGTTGAGTGCTGGATTTTTTGTTATCTTAATTGCACTTAAAATTCTATGTTAGATTGTTTTCACGCATAACTTTTTAGGATTTATTTAATATTTTAAATAAAATAGCTTAGGGTGACAGTAATTGGACAGATGTAATTGGGTCTTTTACCCTACCCGCGAAAAAAATACAATTGCCATATTAATCGATCTCTCTTTTTTTTTCTTTTTTCAAGCTTATCATCAGGACGCGAACGAAGCGTTTCTCGTGACGAAGGATTTGCGCAAGATTTGCGATCAATTCCACGATTCGAGAGCGAAAGTAGAATGCAACATACAAGTATTTTCGCATTTCGCACCGATGCTCCTGGAGAGATGTAGCATCGAGGACAGCGACAAGCTATTTAAGAACGAGAGTAATTCGTATTACGTGCAAATTAAATACGACGGCGAGAGACTGCAGCTCCATATGAAGGACGGAAGGTACAAATACTTCACGCGGATGGGACACGATATCACGAAAAATCCCGGTTACGGGGAGACTGGATCTTCGGGTACTTGATTTCTCTCGCACAGCTTGATCAAAATTGGAGACTATTAAATTTATAGAAATGCAAGCGCGCGCAGTACACATCGTCACTCCCTACGTATAATCCCGTAACTCCAAAACGCAAATTTTAGAGGAGAGCAATTTAAAAGTTTAAAGCTTCATATAGTTTCTCTAGTTAAGAGATCTTTCGGTTTTAAATTTTTACCTTACTTATGAATATTTTTTTTTAATATTTGGTGACCAGAAAGAACATGACTTTCTAACAGCCAATTTTTTCACTTCTAGATAAGTTTTCGATAACTTTATCTAGAAGATATCTCCCAAAATTGGTTCTCAGAGGAATTTATCCAGAGGATAGTTATCGAAAGGTATGAAGAAATCGGCCGTAAGTGTCACTATGCAATAAACTGAAAATCCCGTATGTGACACTTATGTAATTATACGTAGGGAGTGACGACATATATATTCAACTTTCGAATTACTTTCGATTTAATGATTTATATTGAATACTCGTTTATTGTATTGTTTAAAATATTGCAAAACTACTTCCGATATTTATAGGTTTCTTGACCGGTGTGTTTGCACGACAGTTAAATCCGAATTGTCATTCTTTTATATTGGATGGGGAAATAATGGGCTGGCACAAGGAAAAACAAAAATTCGGTAGCAAGGGTATGAACTTCGACGTGAAAAAGCTGTCGGAAAAGAGTCATCATCAACCGTGCTTCGTCGTTTTCGATATTATTCAGCACAACAATGTTTTACTTGACGACGTACCTTATCAGAGTAGATTGAAATTGCTGAACGACGTGTTCACCGAAGAAAAAGGCTCTTTGATCATATGTCGGTCCGCTTTAATTTCGAACAGGTGAAGAAATATAAATGTCATAAATCTTCAATTTCACAAATTGAAGAATTTTTTTTTTTTTTGAGAAATTGATTTTTCAAATTTACGTTTATTTTCATATAATAAAACAAGTGTGTGTTTGTGAATTTCTTTCGTAGAGAGGAATTGGTAAAGGAGTTCGAGAAGTGTCTCGATAACGATGAGGAAGGACTCGTTGTAAAGAAATGTAATATGAAGTATAAGCCAAATGTTCGGGATGGTGGCGGCGGTTATAAGATAAAAGCAGAGGTATAAAATACATAGGTGTAAATATTGGAAAAGATGTTTACATAAAGCAGAACATTGTATACGAATACGTTAAAACTCTAAGAGTTTAGGCGATTTTCTGTCGATTTTCGCTCGATTTTCGAGAGAAAACCGAGCGATTGGGATATTTTTTACAGTATTCCAAGAATCTGGTACAGGATTTGGATCTGATTGTACTCGGCGGTTATTACGGGGATGGCAAATATATGGGAAGAATTAAGAGTTTTATGATGGGCGTTGCCAAGAGTCACAAAGAAAATCCGACGACGGATACGACGCAATTTCTATGCGTCGTATCGGTGAGCAATGGAATTGCAAACGAAACGTTGCGCGATCTCGAAACGAAGTTTGAACCGCATTGGGTCAAGGAACGTCCCGAAAACATCACGGGTCCTAAGGTGCGATTGTTGTATTAGATGCGTATATCCTTTGTGTATGAAAAAAATGTGTGCGTTTTTTCGCTTTCTCTCTCTCGCACGCTGATGCGCTTCTTGCAGAAGTGTCAGCCGGATTTGTGGATTCGTCCGGAACACTCGATAATCTTCACAATACTCGCGACCGAGATGGTGCGCAGCAGCGAATATCCAACCGGATATTCCTTGCGATTTCCCAGAGTTACGAGAATCAGGGATGACAAGCCGTGGTACAATTCGTGCACACTTTCGGAACTCTTGTCGTTGGTCAAAGTACGTGCACGCGAAAGCTACACGATAAAACAAACAACATTGTTATTTATCATATACGACACACGCTTGTATTTAACGTGCAATTAGGAGTTAAATTATCAATTACAGAACAAAGGTGTGATCCAGAAGTTGACCAAGCGAAAAGTAATCTCGGACGATATCGACGAAATGCCGACCTCGGACGATGTCGACGAAATGCCGATCTCAAAGTTGAGAAAATCGACCAATCGAAATGCAACGTCGTTCGAACGTACAAAACGAATAACACCGCTCACGCGATTATTAGACGGGAAAGAGATCTGCGTGATAAACGGCACCGACGAACTGACGAAGGAACAAGTGGAAGAAACGTTGCGGCAGCACAGCGCGAAGATCGTTCAGAATCCAATTCGGAACACCACCTTCTGCGTAATAGTGGGAAATAGCAAAACGGTAAGAATACGCGTTGTAAGAAGCGTAACGATTGTGTTAATCGTGCATTTCATCGGAGAGAAAATTTGCTCTTTCAGATGCGAGGAAGAGACGTGATTAATAGTGGAAAATACGACGTCGTATCCCTAGATTGGTTTGATCGCGTCACCAATCAGTCTGACTACACCTCGCCAGTTGATTTCTTACCGTGGGAATTGTTGTGCAGTCGAAACACCACGAGCCAGCGACTTGAGCGCACTTATGACGAGTACCACGATAGTTTCATCGTTGACGCGAACGAAGAGAGCTTGAAACGTTCATTCGATAAAATTGCGGAATCGGTAATTAAAAAAAAACGTTTATTCTCACCATTTTCTTTCAGCTTCACATATACTAGAATCTTAACTTCGCATTTTCAGCTTGCGTGCGGTACAGTCGAGGATAAAAAGAAATTGGACGAAGAATTGTTCGATGGAAATGCGTCGCCTTATTCGCTGTTCAGAGACGTAATTGGATTTTTTGACGATCCGATGTGCTATGCGAAGTACAAATTTCGTTTCATGTCGGGTAGAGTTAAGGACGAATTTGACGATACCGTTACGCACGTGTTCGTGGACGACGAAATCGACGGCACGAATAACAAACGTCGCGCGACAACTTTTCAAACAAACGCGCAAACATCCGCGAAAATTGTTACGTGCTATTGGATCGAGCAATGTTTCCGTAACGGCCAATTGTGCGAAATTACGGACTATTTGATTTGTTAGACGCGTTTGGATTTGAACAGGAACTATAAAAAAAAAAAAGAAATAAATGTAATACCAAAGCAACTGTATAAGACAAATATATCAATTTCGCGAAATACGTGAAATAAAAATGTTAAACACACATGTGTGTATATATTATATATATATATATATATATAGATATTTTCGACTAAAATTTATGACAGTATTTTCACGGAATCGCACATTTTAACTCACATTTTCGTGAAGCGAAACCGAGAAACTAAGTACTATAAGCAGAGTGACAGTCGGACAGTTCGCTCATTTAACATCTTCCCATTTCGAAATATTTCCTCTTGACTTGAGTCGCCACCCCTGCCGACTTCTCTCTCTCTCTCTCTCTCTCTCGTTTTATTTCATTGGAATGCGCGCAAAATATGAGAAGCGAGAGACGCAGCTGCGACGTCCTTCCTTACAAAGCCTGCCATTCAGAGAGATCTCACCGAGATTAACGCGTAAGGATCGCAATTTTCTGAGACGAATACGTCAAAAACTTGGAAACTCACGAGACTTCCAAAAAAAAACTAAGTAATATTTGATGATTTAATTATCGGATCAACAACACATGTGCGAATACGTTTTCTGTTTCCGAGTGATTTTATTTTTTTACTTAATAATTATAACGTTAAGTCAAAACTTCCGATTTCGTACAATCGGCAACACGTGCGCTGTGTGTAGTGTGTATCACCGAAGTATTACACACACGTATCAGTCGAAATGGTCACCTCTTTAGCAGAATGTAGTAGAAGTCTCGTCTTTCAGGTCAATATAAATAATATGGGAATATGACTGACGTCCTCTTTCTCTCTTTCTCTCTCTCTCTCTCTCTTTCTTTTTCTCTGTTTCTGTATCTCTCTTGTCCGCGCACAGTATCTACTTATAGACTCTTCACCTACAGATGGGACGCGTATTAATCGAGTTTCAGATTTTCGAAACGTGCGTCCAGGCATGTCACTCTTGTATGTCGAATTTATTCATAGAAGTTTCCTAGAGAGAGAGAGAGAGAGAAAGAGAGAAAGAGTGTGTGTGTGTGTGTAACTCGCTTATAGTTGCCAATTATACGTGTACATTCATAACTGCTGTCTATCGCCAGATTACATATTATTATTATGCACAATAATATGCGTGAGATATATGGGTCGACAGCTCATACGCTTCAATCTATTCTCGACTGACATTAATATTTCTTTTATGCGCGCGCGCGCGTACACGTATGCACGTAACACGTACTTTTGAAAATGAACAATTTACGATTCAACACTTACGCATCAAAATTTTTGAATTAAAATGACAAATAAGTTTGTTTTCTATAACTTAATCACACACGTCTGTGTGTCGTTTATACGTAATTAATATAAATATTTAATATATTTGTTCATATAATGGGAAAAAAAACCATGGTATCTTTCAGTAAGAATTTCTTCTGGCGCAACAACGACTTCCCGCGCAAGCACGTACGATGTGTTCATTCGCAATCGCCATGTCGTCTTGCAGCCTATGTATAAGCGAACATTAATTTTGACATTTAAACGACGAAGTAATGCTACATTAGCAAGTTTAATACGATAAAAAAGCTTGTGAAAGAAAAACATCGTAATCTGTATTCGATTAATTCTCATTCACAATAGCAGATAAATAATAAAAACTCACAAGTGTATCGGCTTGTCGCATCCGCACGGATAATATTTATTTCGCATTCTGTATACGGGCATTAAATAGTAGACGTAATAACGTTATTAGTTTTGATGGTAATTGCATTCGGAAAAATTATATTAATTTAAGAAAAAATTTTTTCAACACATATAACGAGTGTAAAAAAATTCAAAAATTGCTTATAAATATTTACATATTGAATACGAATTACAAAAATTATCGTAAACACACTGAGAGGTTTTGGCAAAACTTACCCTTTCGCGCATTTGCATCTAAACCGCTGCTCTCTAATGTACGTAAGGGAATTAGTGCTCTCTTTGCATGGGAATAATGAATTTAACGTATCATCTTTGTTATTGCGGTATATAACCGACCGTACGCAATCTTTATTCGTGATTTCTGCGCTTCTCGAACGTGCTCGTATTTGCAGCATGTTTTCGTTAAATTGATATCGCACATAATACGTACGCGATTAGTCGTCTCGTGACTTACTTTTCGAACTCCTGCCTCAGCAATTCTCTTATTCTGGCGTGGCACACGCAAATCTTCTCACTGCTCCGCGAACGAGGGCAAATTACTTCTGATTATATTATCTCTCATTTCGATTTGCCTCTCTCGGAAGAGAGAAATGCCTCACCTTTCTCTCAGGAAACCGACGTAAAGAACTAACATCCCGGCAGATATGACGATGAACTTTCCGAGATACCAAGCAAAATTGGCCGTGCAATGTTGCATTGTGCGACAACACAATTCGACAATTTGGGCTGTTAACTATTTGCGCTATTTCTTATTCGAAATCGCACGTAGCAACTGCGTGTGGAAACAAATGACGATCGTCTCATCGTCTCACGTGTGTGTCGCGAATCAAAACCTCGCGGAAATTACAGAAATCACAGCTCGTTCACAAATGTAGATAGACAATTGCGTCGATCACGAATATCTGAAAGTGTGACATCGTCTCGGGATGTGCTTCCTCTACCCGGTCTCTCTCTATCGAAGCCCGAGAGGCGCGAAGGATGTTGAATGACCTGTCAACATATTTGCCCGTCTCTCTTGACAACACTCTCACGAGCACAAGGAACGGAGGGAAAAAAAAGGAAAAGACGTCCGGGAGATGACATCCCTTCATTCCACGCTCATTAAAATGAATTCCTCGGTACGTGTCTCACGGTACGCGCGTGTGCCCACTGACATATATAAATTTAAACTTGTCTAACTGGTAGGAGAAACGAGAAAAAAATTCGAACAAAAACCGCGTTACATAGGAGAGATTTTTTATACCGCGAACGACGATGTTTAAGTGTCTTGTCTCAGTTAGATAGAAATGATCTCTCGTATATTTTCACCGGGAGGAAAAATTGATATAAAAAACTGTCGAGATAGAGAGAGAGAGAGAAAGACGATTAACGTTTGGCTTGCGTTAACCAGACATTTTTTGAAATAACAATTCGTCATTTACATTCGGTCAATACGGCGATGCAATCTCCCGCGTCTTTTCCTCTTGTTAAACACGCGTCGCGTGTTGTGCACCGCAAAAATAGAAGACAGACAATCTCGTTGTACTAACAACGTTGCGCGCCGGCAGCTGCAACCATATGGCATTCTTTCTGTGATCTTACTCTAAGAGCTCGTTAATACGATCCTCTCGGATATGTTGCCAACACACAGTTAATATTAGTTTCGAGTATGTTTTTCTAATGTATGAGTGGCACGGGGTCGTCTTTTCGATAACCACCTGGTTAACATCCCGCGTACTTAATGTTATTTCTGAAATAACATCCCGCATCGGTTTCAGTCGGCTGTGCGCGGCTTCTTCTTTCTCGAACGGGAAGAGAAAGGATTGAACAAACAATTTGTATCATCTCTACATATGGACACGAAAAAACTCGCGCGTGCGTAACAATTATTTTATTATGTGAGAAAATAGGAGAAAGAATCGAGTTGACTCGTTATGACTGATTAGTTTGACTTGTTATCGACACTTAGGATCGATGAAGATTTCAATTTAAAGAGTTTGCATTTAAATTGAAATTGAAATTCGAAACATGCGCGCGTGTCGGAATTGAGGCGAAGTTAACCGGCAAAGTGAAGTTTTCTTTTGTATTCTGAGTGTAAATAAGCTAAGGCCCGTAAATGAGAGATTTTTTTTCGCGCAAGCTATTCATACCAAGAAGACGAAGAGTCGAAACGTCGTGGTGATTCATTGGTTCGAAGCCGACGAAAGCGGCGGAGTCAATTCGGTCTGCGAGCCAATGAGAGCACTCTCGGTTCTCTAAAAATATAATTTTGAATCGGTAGGAGGAGATGAGACACACACACGAGACACCTCCCTCGCGCGCGGTAGCCAAGAAATATTTTTATAAGTGTATATCTCTTCCACACGGTTACACAGCGGAACACGTCGCCAAAAGCTCAGTCTACGCATCTGTGAAGACCCGAAGACGTGTATATCGAGTGCAATTAATCCGAACGAAACAAATCCGAATAAATTGCATCTGTAATCAAGTTTCAAACATTTAACGAGAAGAGAGATTCGTATTTTGAAGAGGAAAGATACAAAATATACGTACAAAAAATATATACGCGCGAGAAGAGAAAATGTTTTGTAAAACAAACATTTTCGCTCGCACAAAGAAGTGAGATGTGACCGATGTGTGACCCGAAACTTACCGCGTTGCTTGAAAATCGGAAACGATATAGACAATATGGATAACGAGGAACAAACTCTAAAATAAAGAGATAATTGTCAGAAAATGTTTCAAGAGTAATTAACTTGAGAAAGCAACGAGTTTTCGAATCTAACAAGTGGATTTTTTGCGCAATCTTCTAGATATGTTGGGGAGAGACTTGGCGCTACATGTGATCGCGCACTCTTCACGGAAGGATCTGTGCGTTTAATATCCGCCGCACAATTGAGAAAACTCTCTGAAGAGAAAAATGTTCTTCGCAATGACTCGCTGAAACAAATTTGAAGATATCCAGCCGAGTGACATATCCAATCCAGCTATCAGATACATGTCTCTCGAGACGATATAAGAATCAGGATGAAAACCGGTGGTGGCGGCGCGCCGAATCGCTTGAACTCGAGCATAGAGCAACGTTTGAGAAGTCCGAAGTGCGCGAGATGTCGAAATCACGGTGTGATTACCGGCTTGAAGGGACACAAAAGATCCTGCGCCTGGAAGGATTGCCGGTGTCCTTGCTGCCTGCTGGTCGTCGAGAGACAGCGTGTGATGGCAGCGCAGGTAGCACTACGCAGACAGCAGCAAGCGCAAGGCGACAATCTTCTGTCATTACCGAACAAAGTATCGACAAATATCGCGAATCCTTATTGTGTTAAAACAAAATACGACGAACCGGACACGGTCTGCGGCAGAAGAAACAAGAACTTTCAGAGACATCATTTACATTTCACGCAGACTAGCATCAGCGTGACGCAAGATTTCTACGGATTGAACGCCATGCATAATCTACCATGTGACACATGTGAGTTTATTCTACTCTCTCGCGTGTACGGTTTGGATATTAATACCTCAAAGTATACACTTGGTTTTGTCAATTAAAACACTTTTAATTGTACGCAGCAAGTGTGTGATATAATTTTAGTAAATATGATTTAGATTTTCACAAGTTTTTATATTTATTATTTTCTTTCAATATCTTAACAACACGAAAGAAAAATGATAAATGCGTGTGTCAAAAATCTTATACTTAAAATTGTCTTTACCTTTTCAGTGTCGCCGCATCCGCGTCTGTTGGCTCTATCTTCTTTCGGATGCAATCAAAAGCAGGAAGCTGATCCCGCGCTAAAAGTGCAGTCCCTTCATTCTGTCTATCCGACAATACCGTGGTTCAATCAAGTAACGCAATCGTACATAGCGAGCAGAGAACTGGACAATTTCATTTCTACGGGAGCTCTGCAGGACTGTCCCACTTCGAATAATAAATCCTGCTTAGAAAAGAAAACGCCGATATCGTTTAGCGTAGAATCTATTATTGGCACGAAATAGGTAATATTCCAATATCCTCTTAATCATGATATTCAGTCAACAAACTTTTACGCGGAACAAATAAAACTATTTACAGATATACCGATTTGTTTAGAATCGCATATGTGTAGTGTAGTTTCATTTTGTTTAGTGTCATTTTGTTTTTGATACATTTGAAATTTGAAAACGCCGCCTCCCCTGTGAGTCCCAAATCAATGGCCGCGTTCAGCAGAACTCAGCGCTTAGTAAGCGCTTTACGCTTATTGTCTGTGATTGGTCTCTTCTTGTAAATCCGCTGGAAATATGAAAGTATATTCCAATGACAAGCAATAAGCGTAAAGCGCTTACTAAGCGCTGAGTTCTGCTGAACGCGGCCAATGTTTAAAGCAAGATCTTGCGTGGGGACGAAACGACGACACATCATTGTTTCAATCGAAGATCTTACTTTAATACTAACATATTCAGTTTATACACACGCATCATTTACGTCTCTATATATTAAACAAACACTCTTAACAATGTTTATATATAGAATTTATTACACAACTATCAACTCTATAGCAAACACATATATATATATATATATATATATATATATTCAATATACATTCATGGAACAAAACAATGTAAAATTTGATTCTTGGTCGGTGTACGTACAAATTGTATATCCTCAGTAAAACGTGAAAATGACGACAACGTCATGGGATAATAACATGCGTTACACACTTCTACTTAATTCGAGCAAGTCGAAGATCGTGCTGCCTTACGCAAGTGTCACGATAAAAATTTCATTTGAGGCACGATCATTGTTTATTGCCTTCGAGTGTTAAGCTGCAACGTTTCATGTACGCGTCCATTTCCGAAAAATCGGACAGGGTACTATAAATAACGTCGTGAAGAACGCACGGCCATTGCTTCTCTAAAATTTGTAACTTGTGTATGGCATTTACAGTGAGATTAATCAAATTTAGCAAGTGTACTTTCCCCTTGTGCCGCCAGATAAGATCTTCCTACAAACAAATTGCGAAAAATATTCTGTAGTCAGAAAAACTTTTGCCCCCGAGAAAAAGAGCGCGTTTATATTGCCATTTATACAAAGCATCCCCTGACTTGTGTAAACTCCAAATAAGAAATATAGCGTAAAATATAATAATCTTGTTATAAAAATAAAAATACTCGATTTTTTTAAATATTTTCTCTCCCCTTAAAATACCTGTGTCACGCTTCCCTTTCTCCACTGTAACGCTTCCTTCGCGACGACGCTTCGAAGCGCGGGATCGCAATTGAACAGAAACTGTTTGGCAGTAATTTGCTCCCCGCTTTGTTTCTGCACCTTTTCCAAATGAAGTCTTTGCAACAGAGGTTGCAACAGGGAGTCTGGCAGTGAACATATTACTATGTCTATAAGACCGGCATATTCCTGATTCGCAAGTTCGATCTCTTCGGCTGTGATCTAGAAAGATTTGTTTTTGCACTCATGTGACATCACGTGACGTAATGCATTTTAATTTGCCTTGTTTTTTTTTTTTGAGGGCTAACGCGAAATATGTAAAGTACCTCCTTGCCGTTAATAACCGTGAGTCCCCAATGAGCTAGTCGGAATATGGCGTACGTCTTCCAATCCTTGGACACAACAGGATTCCCTCCGTCTATTTGTATGCTTGTCAATCCCTGTACTTCGGCTAAAGCATTCAGCTGGCCGAGAAGACTAATGTTAGTTTCTTTAAATACAAAATGTTCCGCGTGAGAAAATCTAGTTTTTAGTTTACTTAAAACTTTCGCCACATCGTTAAATTGCACGTAATTAAATTTCACGACATTAACGTCTTGAGCTTTCGAGGTGTCCCAAGTTCTATCTATGAAGCGCAATGCGCCTTGGCCGTAAATGTTCAGACATCGACCGACAATTTCTATCAAATAATCCCCGCCTAAATAGAAACGTCACATTATTTAACTCTCAAAAACATACTCACGGAAATGTGTCTATTTGACAAATATTTAGAAACATTAGCCTACCCTGTTCCCTTTCTCTAGGTGGTGCCTGTTGAGGTGGCGGACTTGGCAAAGCCAGTGCTCGAAATTTCGCTCTGGCGGTCGCGGCTCTGTTGCTCTTGTAATACACCACTTTCTTTGGCTGAGCACTTTTGATTCTATCCTTGTCGTGAGACTTTTCGCAAACCACGTTCTTAGAAATCGACGAAGTGCTAAGATCACTCAACAACGACTTACTGCAACTATCCATACCGCTAGTTTCTTCGACCACTTTGTTGCTCAAAAAACTTTCATTTTCGCTTATCGCATCAGAGTATTTCAAAGACTTTTCGCTTGTGACAGCTGTTTTAGCGTGTAAATGTTTTTCGTTGTTATGATTTTCGTGATTATTTTCCATAGCGAATGAAGTGTGATTTATTAGAGACAGTTTCTTATAGGTGGCAGATTTGTCGTAATCCACAGACGAACCGTTGGCGGTGAACAAGTGATATCTCAAACCACTCTTCAAACTCTCATGACTCTCCGAGCTGTCTAAATCGCTATCGGATGTATTTTCATTGTCACTCAACATTTTTTCTTTGCTATCTTTGAATGATCTATCCTCTAATTTACCACTCGTTAGACTGTCTACTATCGAACCCAAGATAGGCGGGAGTTTGAACTCCAGAGGAAATGATTTAGCGTCATCTAATTTGAACAAATTGTCGCTGGAACTGCTTCTCTTTTTTATGTGTATTTTTTTTGCTTCCACATTTTCATTTATCGACGTTAAGCTGCCGAAGCCTTTCGTTTTAGCCTTGTCCAGACTCTTTGAGTTTATAGTATTGAATTTGCTCGATATACTTTGTGCGTGCAGTACGTTAATATTGTTGCCTGAATCTTTACCCATCGCTTTATTCGCACTGTCGGCGGTAAGTTTTGTTCTAGATCTGAGAAGTTCCCAATTGGTTTTAGCGTTTGATATCACTTCTTCTCTACGTACGTTCATGCAAACCTGTGCGCTGAGATCGAGAAACGCCGAATTGGTTTGTTCCTTGGAGAATCTCCAAGCCATTGCTGTTCTCCGAAATTGTCCGCTAATTTGCATCGTTGATAACAGTTGCAGATTTGGCAAATAAGACACGAGAAAAGAGATATAATCTGTATTTAAGGTCACTGGGTTACCATCTATCGTTATTTCTTTAATTTGTAAAGCCTTTGCGAGGCTACTCATATCCTCAATTCTGCAACATCAAAATTACTGAAAGACCTTAATTGACCTAATTGAAGAATCACTAATTTTTTTTTTTAAAGTTTAAAAGTAGCTCTCTGTGTATGTGTGTGAGTGCGCATGACAGATGTAGGTCTAAGAATATATTAAGTTTAAGAAACTAATTAGATGTGTTTCCAAAGATGACATTCCTGATTAAAGCTTTGAAATTTTTATGTGCAAAAGAACGTAAAAATGTATAAAATACTAAGAAAAAAACTCAACATTATGCATTAAAATGATATATTAATGTGTTTTGGAACTACTTTATAAAACTAATTAAAAGTGTGGCAAAAAATACAAACATTTGCATCTACATATTACTGAACTATAACAGCGTTTGCTCTGTGTGTTAATCAATTATAATACAAATTCTTTAAAATACTTGCCTATGAATGTCATTGTTACTCAAATATAATTTTTGCAATTGTGGCGTCTCACCAAATCCTAACAATTTTTTCAGTTTATTTCGACGCAGATTCAGTTCTTTTAACGACGTCAGACCTTGAAAATCATTGCAACCTATACTCTTAATATTATTTCCCGCTAAGTTCAGCACTTTCAATGATGTTAAATCTTCTAAACCGGTAATTTGTTGAATTTGATTGCCATGAAAGTCCAAGACTTCTAATTTGGAAAGTTGTTTTAAACCCTCAATCCTTCTTATTCTGTTCTTTCCTATTAAAAGCACTCTTAAATTTTCCAAAAAGTGAAGATCACATATTTTTTCTATTTGATTATCATATAAATCGAGAAACACAAGCTTCGTGAATTGAGAGAAATTAGAACTCTCTATCTTTGTCAGAAGATTATGCTGAAGGGACAGTAATCGCAATTTTGGTTCCCCAATCACATTCGGGAACGTTGTCAGACCTCGCCTATCGAGACATATTCTGTCAGGGTTCTTTTCTCTTTCGGCAGGAGTTCTTGATGCCACAATTGTTCTTGTTTCTCCTGTTCTTTGCAACGTGACCACATTGCATCTTTCAACTTCTGCATGTTCAGTGTCAAACTGGGTTCCAGCAGAACTATCAATAACAACTGATTTGAGTGCAAGAATACTTTGATGTGCAGAGACAATTATATTAATTCAATGAGATAGTTTTCTTGCTCTACTTTGTCCTACACAAGCAATTACCTAAGTGAATTGTAAGAACGCTTAGATAGCTTAGGAGGTACTGGTGCACCTGGCAAAATTGGTAAGGCAGCTGCTATAGTTAAAAATTGACGTTTGTCCGGAACGCTACTTTGAACAGGTGATTTACCTTTTACGTCAAATGATAGTTTTCTTGTCTGAAAAATATTTACGACTCACGCATTACTGTAAATTATAATAAAAAAGTAAAACACACAACGTGTTACAAAGATATATTATCTAAATTTTGTCGTTCAGTTTGCAAACATCTACGTCAGAAATAATTCCCTTGTTTAAATTACATATTTTAAGTGTGAATCTTACCCGCGTTGCAGTATTGTTGCCCAATGGCATTACATAACCGAGGCATAAACATATAATTAGTCCATCAAAGGAATAAATTGCATATTTTACACCTAACATCTGAAAATACTATGTCACATTTTTGTGATATGTTTTCATTATTGTAGAATATTAAATACATATACGAGTTCGCGTTGTTGTTGTTGTTGTTGTTATGGCGCAGTGAGTTTTTTCTTGACAAATCTATACATATCAGTCCGCGCGATTAATGGGACAGATCTCTGCAGGTACGAAGAAGTTCCGTTTGTCTGCTCTCTCAGTCGATAACTAACCCTAAAACAACCACGGAAAATCGACCTGGGATGCAGAAAACACTGAATCAAAAACAATGTCAAATGTAAAGATATTTATAGATAAAAAACAATATAATGATGTGATAATCACCAATATAAAATTCTTTGTTTGAATACACATGTGTAAGTGGATATAAGTACGTATACATGTTAAATATAGATACGTGTAAGTATTTTTTATCAGTCACATATCTCTGTTTCTTTTTAAGATAACACAAAAAATCAAAACACTGGGAACTATTGAAAGAGTTTACATGCAAAATAAAAATTTGACTAAAGTTTGCTATTTGTTTTAGTCTAAAATAATTTGGTCGATATAAAAGCATTGCTCTGTTCTACAAAGCGAGTAATTAAGTGTCAAAATTTTAGCTAAATGTAAACTCCACCATTCCTTTCGTAACCTCAGAACCACGTGATGTTAGATATTTGCTGTGATAAATATTTACGTACACATGCATATTAATTAATTAAATTTGTCGAGACTTGCATTTGATATGATGAAAATCATACTTGTAACTGGTGGTTCAGGCCTCGTTGGCAGAGGCATTCAAAGTGTCATCGAGCATGACAAGAGAGAAAATGAGAGGTGGATATTTGTTGGATCTAAAGATGCGGATTTGTGGTGAGTTAAATGAATTAATGATCGTTAGTTAAATGTAAATTGTATTTACTTCATTGAAGTACTGACTTACAGCGATAAGGAGAGTACTCGTAGATTATTTGAGCAGCACAAACCAACGCATGTTATTCACTTAGCTGCTATGGTTGGTGGACTTTTCCACAATATGTCACATAATCTAGACTTTCTGGTGAGTATCTTTAAAGAATCAGCTGTGTACTCTCTTTTTGTAGCTTACATAATTTATAATTGTTTTCATTTATATGTGCAAAGTTTGGTCATTAGTTTAATATTGAATCAATTGTCTTTGCAGCGAAATAATATACATATGAATGACAATGTTCTTCAAACTGCTCATGAGCATAATGTGACAAAAGTTGTGTCTTGTCTTTCTACTTGTATATTTCCTGATAAAACAACTTATCCAATTGATGAAACAATGGTATGTATATTGTGTATAAAGAACATTTATTGTTGGTACAATAAGTACATATGTGAAACAAGTATTATGCACATCTTAGGTTCACAACGGGCCGCCACATCCTTCGAATTATGGTTACAGTTACGCCAAGCGACTTATAGATATCGCAAACCGAGGCTACTACGACCAGCATGGTAGATTATATACTAGCATAATCCCGTGCAATGTGTTTGGTCCGTATGACAATTTTCATCCGAGTGCGAGTCACGTTATACCTGGTCTGATGCGAAGACTGTACGACTTGTGCAAAGATGGTATGTACAGAATTTATACTTGATATTACATCTAAAACACTGATTATTAATGTTGTTTTTATTAGGAAACACGGAAAATAAAGTGTTCACTGTGTTGGGGTCTGGTAAGCCCTTAAGACAGTTTATCTATAGCATGGATTTAGCAGCACTGATCATTTGGGTATTGCGAGAATATGATTCTGTGGAGCCTATTATATTATCAGGTATTTATATTTATAACCGCATGATCAAATCAACACTAAGTCTATGATGAGAAAAACAAATTTGTTCTCAGTGGACGAGGCACAGGAGATATCAATAGCTCAGGTGGCTGAGTCTCTAGTACGGGCGTTTGGTTTTAAGGGTAAAGTGGTATACGACACGTCAGCGGCAGATGGTCAATACAAGAAAACGGCGAGTAACGCGAAGTTACGGAAGTATTTACCCGATTTTCAATTTACAACCTTTGAACGAGCTATCAAAGAGACCGTTGATTGGTACGTAAAGAACTACGACAGCGCGAGAAATTGAAATCACTTTTGACAGATTATGGAAAAACAAAGCCTTTATTTCCATGAATACGTTCGGTATTTGCATTAGTTGTCCGATAATTTGATAACTTATCAAACTTCCAGTGCATTGCCATTGTTCTTTAAACATGCAATTAAATTCTGTCACGAAATATATATGATAATTATCAAACTTTTAGTGCATTGCCATTGTTCTTTAAATATGCAATTAGATTTTATCACAATATATATATATATTCTTCAAAGCATATATATATATGTATATCTATTCTTATTAAACCCCGTACATTCCAATTAAAAACGGAACATAAAACTGAAAATAGACAGAATATTAAAAATAAACAAATCACATATATGTGTTTGAAAATATATTCTAATATATAGAAATTATACTTTATATACATTGTAGCATAAACAATTATATTTTTCGAATAAATAAATCTACACAAGACATTTTACTCCTCATTTTGAAAAAGTGCATCATCAAAGTTGATTTTTTAAATGCCAAATTTGATGGGGTTGAACTCGATTAAAACCTCACAAACTTCACAATGATTTATATATGTACATAAAAATGACATTAAATAAAACTAATATCAACTATGTTGAGTAAACGTTGGCAATACACGTGGATTTTTATTGATTTTTGAAAGTTTACTTTAAAGAGAAAATTTAAGTTACAAAAAAAATGTGCTTGCCAAAGATAAATCCACGCGAAACACTTTGCGCGATGAATTTATTTTCGTTCATCCGCGGCATTTCTGGGACACGTGCATATGTTTCGGATGAGTTTACATAAAATTCGAACGGATTGTTATTTGGCGAATGTAACGCGCGTTCCCGTATACAAATACGAATTCTGATTGATACGAGAGGAATAGGGTAGCAGTTTCCAATTAAGTTGCCAAAAGTGCATTAATATATTCCAACTGGAATAGATTTCGTGAGATTTGAATTTTCTACACTGTGTCGTTTCAATCGATTCGGACAAAGATAACGTGTGTGCTTTATCGGGACTTGTCTCCGAGAGACCGACGCGCGATATGAGGGATATATTTTTCAGTGTCCGTTTCTTCTTTGTGACGTAGGAATAATTTGTGTGTTTGTCGATGAAGAAATAAACTCCAAAAACGTTTTCTTCGTTATATCATTAATTTGTTTACCGTTGATTTGTTTTTGTTGACTGTGTTTAAAATCAAATACACTAAAAGTTTTTTTAAACTACACGTTCATTAAATTGCTACTTTGTCTATATAGTTATAAAAAAATGTCTTAACATATTATTATAAGTAAAATAAAGAACTTTATTTTAAGAAAAACGTTTGTATATGAACTACATGATATATATACTGTGTGTGTATGTGTGTGTGTGATTTCATTACTTAACCGATCGCCGAAAGATAGGCGAATTGGTGAGCAGCGTTTATCGACCGGAAGCCTATTTTATGATCGCCTCGCTCGTTACCGGTAGTAACGGTGTATCCGCATCCGAATGAAGCCGGTTCTCTGTACGGCGCGGCTACGGTTTCCCTTCTTCGTGTCGGTCGATCAAACGGTAAAGTGGCAATCAACCCCGCAGACCGTAATTGGACAGATTCGAGTAATCCGGATAAAAAAAAAGAGGAGAAGAAGGAAAAAAAATGAAAGAAATGTTCCCGGGATACACACTCTGCGTGCTCTCTACCTACCCTACCTACCTATCTACAGTGGCGCCGGCACCGAGACGCAGGCGCATCAGCGGTCAACGCGGTCGCGGGGGGGCTGTTTCGGGTGCCACCTCGGAGCCGGCACGGTTCAATCAGTCGCGCTTCTCGGGGTGGCTCGTGTTGCTTGTGTTCGCTCGGTTCGGCCGCACCATGTCTCCCTCCCGCGATAAGTGACGTGAACGCGTCGTGACGCTTTGCTCTTCGACACGTGGCTATTTACAACGTACGCAGTTCTATATAGATCGTTCCGTTCTTTCGTAGTTCTGTTTTGATTCACAAAGAAGAAATTCGAAACGAAACATGAAGGAAAACGCACAGTTTCCGAGCGGATCTTGAAGCTGGCAGCGGTCGAGACTCGTGACTTAAAACTATCCGCCGTCGTTGCGGATAGTTCGATAGTTTAACAAGCTTTCGAGAAAAGAAGAGAAGAAAGCTGGCTGCCGATACTATCCAACGACGCGCATCGCGAAGATCATCGAAGGTGTGCACAAGTGCTTCTTTCTTTTATTTCGCGATATGTAAATTATGCGTAAGAGAGAAAGAGAGAAGGACAGAAAACGGGAGAAAAAGAGCGTGTTTGCGCTTACGCGCGAGAGGAGTTTCGCGTGCAAAAGAACATATGTAGGTATAAGAAGCGTGATGAAAGGATAAAAGCGCCCGATAATTGGGGCTGATGCGTCACGGCGACCGACGCCGAGCGTCGCCTCGGACGTTTATTATTGTCCACAGTAAGCGCGTGCCTTCTGTGAAACGCGCTGCGATTTCGAACCGCGAACGATGATCAAAACCGACAAGGTGATTCGTTGAATTTTCAGGAGATTACATGTACTTACATCTGTAAAAAGAACGGTTGAATATTAAAAAACTTTATTTCAATATTACTTGAGTACACACCAAACTTGTTTTATTTAAATTTTATACTCGCATGTTGTTCTCAGATATTGTATAGGAAAATTTCGAGTCGAGATATAATTATCGTAAAAATCTAGCTTATTTCCTCCCTTCTCTCTCTCTCTCTCTCTTTCTTTATTTTTCTTTTTTCTCAAATTTTATTTTATAATTACACTAGATTTAATTCATTTTATAATTATCTCGCAAAATACTAGATTTTTTAATAATATGCGATTTTAACGAAGGGGATGGTGTTGTGAAATAATTTAATCGCGCACGATCTCGACTTTTCAAAAAAAAAAGAAATATAAGAAAACGCTCGTGTTGTAAATAACAAGGAAAAAATATAAAACAAAGTTATAATTTGCAAGCAAATAAGTTTAATATTATTATAATTATTTAATATAATATCATAATCATTAATTTTTTAAATATTATTATCATTATTTAACGTAATGAATTAAATTGAACAATTTTGAATTTTAACTGTTGACTTATATCTTTTTGTTTTTATGTTTTTGGAACGAATATGTTAAATTGTTAAGTTAAATTGTCCTTTGTTACGTTTCAATTCTCTCATGTTAGTGAGCAAAGTTCTCTTGGTGTTTTCATTGTTCGTGTCTCTTGACGGTGCGCTTCCACTTTTAATTAATTACAGGACAACAATGTTATGTGAACTTGAGTTTGAATTATTTTACTTTCATTTAAGGCGACTTACTATAATATTGGACATTTGTTTTTCTGTCGTATGAGATATAAGCATGTTTCACAATTTGAAACAATTACTGGATTTTTAAAATATTTCTTTATATCACTTTGCGGTTTCTTCTGACTGATTATTTATCTTTGCGATTTTGTTAATTTATTTGCGACTGAAGATGATTCATCAAGCATGAGTTCGAAACGTTCTCTATCTTAATGTAACGTTTTACTTAATAATCATTACATATGTTAAACGTCCATATTTTTTGCTCGCAATTGACCTCGTTTTATATTTTTTCTTTGTTATCCCCCCCCCCCCAAAAAAAAAATTCAAGAAGCTCAATAAGCGTAACGTTCTCATAAAAAATAGACACACGTTATTTTGCACTTCGTATCTCATTAAAATCCATTGGATTTCAAAGTCCAACTTACGCTATCGTGAAAGTAGATAATTTCATACTATATACGCAAAAAAAAAAAAATATGTACGAAGTCACGTTCTCATTAGTTTGCGGTTCAGAAAATGCACTTGTTAATTTAATTACACGATATCGGGTTGTACATATATATATGCGCGCAAAAAAAGTGAATTAGCATTGCACGTAACGTACCTACGTCGATCGACGTGATCTTCCCTCGCGCGTGTGTGTGCGTTATCTTTCTTTGAATTATATATTCAATTTTACTTCTGCACTGCGTGTAGTCTTCATTCGCTCGTGTGGGTGTAACTTCAAGGCGGAGAATTCGTAATGTGATCGAAATCAGAAACACGAGCATGCTAAACGGTATAAACACACTCTCCCTCTTTCTTTCTCTCTCTCTCTCTCTCTCGGCAAAATCGAAGTATGTCTGAGTCATTTCTTAAATAATACATAATCGAAATTAGAGTTGAAGAAGACGCCATTGCACAGAAACAACACGTCTCTATTTGAACTAATTAGTTTTCAAAAGTCTTACCGCGAGTCTGTTCCGCGCGCCTCTTTACATATTTAATACCTTCGTTATTAATTTATGAGTGAATCTCATTGTACGCACTATTTCACAATTGCACACGTCCCGATAGTTACATCACTCGTTATTTTCGTTTTCACATTTGCATTTAAAATCTCGCGCTTAAAAATTCTGATTAAAAAACCGGCTTAATATTAACCGAATATTGAAAAAATCGTCGGGAGTAAACAGTATTCTGATATTGTAACTAATATTAATTGCTTAAAACAAAAAGAAGGTTTCAAAGCAAGCGACATCATTGCTCTATCAATATGTTAAGTGTGGAATCAATCACACGTTCGTTGCAAAAATCACTGATATCACAACGTCGCGCAAGACCATTTAAAATCGTTTGTCGAGCATCGAAAATTTCTCCCGATATATTTCGCGTTGCATTCAAGATTATCCGATAATATTAATTATCAGTAGATAGCGGAGCACATTGCATGACTCGATCGAGGGTAACACGATGCGGCATCGCGTTTCCCGTTGGCAAGCTATCGCTGAAAGCCAAGAAGAAGAAGGCATCGAGGCGAGCGGCAGCGGCGGCGTCGTTAGCAGCAGCAACAAGAACGGCAGCACGGCTGCTGAGGAATGGACAACAACGATTCTGACAAGCAAAATCATCGTCACTATTATCAGAACGCTCGTCGGCGTGACGCGCGACGCCGACGACGGCGTCGTCGACTGTCGTCGTCGATTACTTCCGACGATCGTCATCGGAGTCATCGCGCAGTGATCCGCATGTAAGGTACGCAAATCGATAATTGAAGACCGTATTCTTATTGAAAGAAATATCGAAGTACTTTGTGTAAAACAACCCGAGAGATTTTTTTGTAAAATCACTCAAAGAAAAGTCTCGCATTGTCTTCGAGAACGCGAAGAATACATTTTTTTTTTTTAACGCGTGTGTGCAAGATTTTATTTTAAAAAATATCTAGTTTATAATTTTTTTTGCATTCTTTTATAACAGCAGATTTATGAAAAAAAGTGTTTCTATTTTTTTACTCTTACAAAAAATCTTACTAAAAATCATAGACTTCTTAAATATCGGTCAGTGTGACACAAGGTTTTGAGAGATGTAATTCTTGCGCAGATTCGGTCGCCGGCTCGTTTGGATGGAAGACTACAAGGACGACGAAGGCGGCGACGACGACGACGACGCAAGAGATGCCTGGTATCGTAGTATTTCGACGACGTTGGAGCGTCGGCAGCGACGACCTCGTCGTGCCCGGCGCTTTTCTCTTCATTTTACATCTCATATGGTAAGTAAGACCGGTGCGACACAGAAATGATAAAAAATACGAGGTGCGGATGTTTCTCGGTAAAAAGATACGCGAACTGTATAAATAGTCGTTTGCGGTCTAGTTGCATGGTTTCTCCGATAAAGTTTTTCACTTGAAAAGAATAAGATTCACTAAAACTGTTTTCTTCGAACATGATTTTTCTTTCAATTTTCTTCGATCACAACATGACGATTGTGCGTTGAAGAGTTACGACAGATGGAAACATGCATTTCGGAATTTTAAAATCACAAGAAATAATAGACTGTGGCTGTCTAGTAAAACAATGAAATAATGAATGTGAATCCGAAGTCAACCTGGCGCGTGCAAGTTTTTTTTATTTTATTTTTCTTCCGCACGTAACAGACAGACATATGTAATATATTAGATCTCGACTTCCCTCTCCATTCGACTGAATAAACAATGAACATGGCATTAAGCCGCGACGGTCGCAGGATCAACATCGAAGATTTGGGTGTGATAGAATGATAATGAATGACACAAAAGCGACCGTAGTATTATCTTCCAGATCTGGATCATGTCGTCGCTTAATCCAGTTCGTGAGATAAATTGTGGAACGCCTGTCGTACAGAAAGTCAAATAAGTGCGAAGCTCAAGTCATGATGTAGCGGTAAAAAACATTTTTTAACGCAAAACACCGATCGAGATAAATGTCAAGATGTTGGACAAAAGTTCTGAATGTACATGAAAGTGAATTGACAAACTGAACGAATCAGCGAGAGAGACATATTGACATATTCAATTTTTCGCTTGTTTTGACAAAAAACTGAATAAATTTGTGAAGAGACCAATTGTTATTCGTGCACGTGTACGCGTTGCGAAAAATAATTCTTTAATCCGAAGCTTGTAAAGAAAATACGTTCCAAAATTCTATTCTATTCTATCATTCTCTCTCTCTCTCTCTCTCTCTCTTGCTATATTATATTTATATATTAAATATTCTATCGCGTGTGTGTTAAATATTCTACAAACAAAAAAGTATATAAAAAATCCTTTTACGGTAAAACAAAAACTCTTTTTACGAGTTCTGTTCCCGCTAGAGAAATATGCAGTATTACCATTCGTGTGTGGCGGTCACATTCAAATGTTTGCGCAATTGTCGTGTAATTATTCGCAAAAGCCAGAAAAATAGCACGTTTGTAAACGTCGTTAATGGACTGATGATTAAAAAAAAAACAAAAAAAAAAAAACAAAAGCGAGTCGAGAAAAATCCAATAAAAATGAAAAAAAGAAAAAAAATTAAGTGTTCTACAAAGTAATAATAATGTAACGCGAAATAGAAGACTGATTGAGAGCTGCTATATGAGAATGACCTCGTAGTCAACTTCAGTCACTTCCTTGCTTGAGAAATATTATGCATATTGAAAGCATCCTCAACCTTTTAAGTGTAAAGCACTTCAGAACTAAGCGTTTGACGCGGTGCGCGGCCCGTGATAACGACTTGGAGGCGGAATGCTTTTTTGCATATATACTGTGTACTGCATAAAGTCATTATTGCAATTTTTTTTTGTAAATCAACTCTGCTTGTATCCAAAAAAAACTGTTATACACACACGCGCGCACATGTATCCACTAATGATATTTCACGTTATGATATTTTTGTTCATGTACGTGACACATAAATACGTCAGTGGCGCTAAAAGGGTTGAATTCGAGCCATTTATTCGGCAGTGGTTTTGCCGAAAAAAAAAGCGTATTAACTGAACGCGCGCGTTTTAATTCATTGTTCATAGGAGCCTCCACTCTCTTGTTGCGTCTATCATAGCGTGATATTCTCTCAATTACTCTTTGAAATTATGCGCGAGACGAAGTTACGAGCGAGGATATAGTGACACGCACACACACACACTCTCATATACATACATACATACTTACTCTGCATAAACAGGTGATCATTTTCAAGAGTGCAAGCTTGCGGCCTTGATTATTCTCGGCACGCGGTATTGGTTTGTTATTTTCAGAGTTTGTTATGTGTAAGCGTCCGGATTGAAAATCTCTCGGCGTCATTTTTCTCTCGCCGTTGCTCTCCAATCAATCTGCAATCGAAATTACGCGCAGACGATATTCTCACCACTCCCGGATATTTGTTCCGAACAAAAATACAAGTCTCTTGTAATCTGAGACCGCGAAGTACCCTCACACGAGATAAGCGTTTACTCTCTTTCCTTTACCCTCTTCTAATAGCCGTCAACAAGAGAGGATGATTCTGCGATCAGCTTTTTTTATTACATATATTTTCCGTGTTAACGGCTGATCATTGTTTTTCAAGAAGAGTCGATCGCGCGAAAACACCTCTCGTGTTATTATTATTAGCGATAATCGTTTCTCGCAAGGGAAGCAGAGAAAGGAGAGAAAGAAAGAGAAAGAAAGAGAGAGAGAGAGAGAGGAGAGAGAGGAGAGAGAGGTTTAAAGAATCGCGATTTTAAATACATGTAAGATTTTTTGAAGCAATTCTGACCATTATTTTGACATTTCCAAAGAAAAGTCAGAAATCGCTGTGGTTTTTTTACAACCTCACGGAACAGATGCGAGCAGGTCGCTGTTGGCACATCTCGAGAAGTCGGTTTTCTATATACATCGACTTGTCTATACGAGCCAGTAAAAATCATTGTAACATATAACTCGTGTGTGCACGTGTACCGAATACTATTTTTTCCTCGCCGAGCTTACAGCTAAGTATAGATCCGAGCCTATACGCTCTCTCGGGATTTAAAGTACATTATAGTGTATACGGGGTGTTGAAAAACAAGGATTTAAGACTTACGGTTAGATAAAGCTGATACGAGTGTTCAATTATACACCGATCTCGAACGACGCGTTCGAGCGAAAAATCAATCTCCTCGGATTTTTATAAACAAGTTTCGTTAAATACCGTTTGCAGTCACAATATTGTTCTTTTCTTCCAGCAATTTGCAGATAAATCTGAGCGAGAGATAAGAACGAACACTGCGTCTCTTAGGAGTGTAAATAAAATTGATTTGAAAGGAGCATGTTTGAATTTAAAAGACGAAAGAAGAGAAAAGAATTCAATTTACAATTAACACCAAGTAACAATGTATTTTAATTTTTGTTTTACATTTAACGATTAATTTTTTAAAATTAAACTCACATCAAAAGTGATTTATTACTGGACGTGACTTGTTGGCGATGTAATTACAACAAATTACAACGCGCGATACGCATTCATTTCTCATCGCTGTGATAATCTCGATGGGCGCGCGATGCGCTCCGATTCCAAATGAAATCCGATGCGCTTACATCAGGTTTCGTTCGGAATCGGAGGTGTCAACGCGCGCAAAACCAACGCTTTTATCGGATCATTTTTTTCTTTTTTTGTTGTCTTTCTTGAAGAAAACATTCTTCAAGGACTTTGTACCTTCGACACTTCATCGAAGAATCAGCGGACGAAAGTAACGTACCGCTTGTCGATTATGCGCGATACAGAGTGAAAAAGAAAATATTACTTCTACCATGTCCCCCAGAAGGTTCACTCTAAATTGTAACTTAAATTTACATTCGTAAATTCGTGTTATTTATTGACAAACATTTGTGTTATTTATTGACAAATTAGTAATGTTCAGTAATCGACGGAATATTTTACATTTGTATTTGTTAATTTGTTTTTTTGAGTATAAACGTTGCGAAAATAATAATATACAAGTTTTATGTTAATTTAAACAACAAAAGTAATAATCGAAACGGAGTAACGCAAGAAAACTGCATAGCATACGGACGCGCGAGTTTTTGCTCCGTGTATGATGTCGCAATCGCGAGAGAACCGTTTCCGCGATGCGGTAAGATGAGCAAGTACGATAAAATCACATATCGCGTCGCGCGAACCACTTGTTTCCGGGATTCGGCAGAATTTTGAGATTTATGATACGTCGCTTTTATCGTAAACGCGACAGCTTATACAGTGTGTGATCGAAAACTCGATAATGTTGTATAATAGGTTCGGGGAATTTCGTCACATTACAGAGATCGTCGCGGAGTTTTCAAAGGACGCGAGCAAAGCGGAGGCACTTATGCGAAGTTCAGCAAGTCCCCTTTAACATTGATTTCCTCGTAACTCTGTATCGAGCTTTATACCCCCCCCTCCGACCGGATATAAGAAACGTTTCCGCATTCTAAATGTCAAGAGTCACGACATTACCTGGCATTGCGGTTTTAGAATGGCCTAGTGGCCATTACGCGTAGAAATTTTCAAAAAGCATCGTTCTCTCAACAAAATATATATATATATATATGTACGCCTCTATTAAATATAAACTAAATCAAGAAATAAGAAATCTTGAAAGCCACAAAAAGTTTCGTGCAAAATATATTTTTAACGTGTAAATTAATGCAAGAAATGCGGAACATCCGGGTTCGACTTCCTGACCGAGGCGTCGAGGTACGATCTGGCTCATTTATTTCGTATAATAAACGTCATATATATATATATTGACTTGATATTTGATGCTTTCGCGGTGTGTAGTATTAACATACAAAGATGTTTTTTCGGGTTTGAACCGCGTTAGTGTCATTTTTATATCGACGTCGGTATAAAAATGACACTAACGCGGTTCAAACCCGAAAAAACATCTTTGTATATATATATATTGACTATTTTAAAAAGAAGGAGCGGAACAAGATAAGAAAAATATTTCCCAGTTATGTGGAGATGTTTTTCCTCTTTATAGATAAGGACTAAATTACACGATTTGTAAAAATAATCGAATTCATATCTAACGTCGCCGATGGAACACCTGTGAGAGAAAACATCTTTAATTTGTTATGAATCCGCCAGGAAAATCGCTGCGGGACGGTTTTCTTAGCTGTCTCTCGTGCAGAAAGTGAAAACTGACGCGCGGCTTGCGACGAGGACAGTAGGAAAGCTGACTACGAGATAAATCGATATCTCTACGAAACCACGCAGCGGCATTTAAGGGTCTGACGACCCTTCAATTCCTCTCTGCTATCTCCCCTAGTGACGCTCTCTTCTCTCTTTTTTTTTTTTTTTCCAAAGCTTCTTTCCCCCTCGTCGATCTTTCTTCCTCTACCTCTCTCTCTTTTCCCCTTTAAAATACCTTTAATCGCGATAAGAGCGAAATCTGCTTTTACTAATTAGATGCGCGTGTATATTGCGTTTTGCAAACAGTCACGCACTAACTTTTTTTTAAAACGAAATTGAAACTTGTCTTAATAAATCAGTCGTTAATCGATTCTCAGAAGAAATAACTAATCAGACCGTCGCAACAAATTTTTACGTTGGAGAAAAATTCACGATTGCGAATTAGAAGATGAAATTCAACAGAGATCGGTAATTGAGAAGAATTGTTTTCGTTTCGTTTCATTTCGATTGATCAAATTTCAATTCGTACGAGCGTATCAGTATGTCCACACGACGGAAATGCGTACACAAGCCGGTGTCTATTTTTTAAAAATAAAATATCGATGTCGAAATTAAATTTCGTTGCGGTTCTTTCCGAACTTTCCGGGTTTCCCGTCAAAAAACAAGTGTCGGAGATTATTTGTCCGATGTCTGTTAAAGGACGCTCTCGCTTGATCAAACCGCTTGAAAGCTCGCCGATGCAGTTTGACGCAGCTGCATCTATCGCGCGCGGTCTCTCCCTGTACAGACCTGTGTGCCACAATAATATGATCTATATACACACATCGCCCGTGTGCAACAAATGTCCACGGTTCGCAAAGTTTGAAACGCGCGAACTTCCGCAGCGCGGAACGTTCGCTATGGAAGCTCTTTTGTCTTTCCGTCGTGTCGTCTGACGTCGACAATATAATCGAAAGGTATTCTGATCATTAACATCGCGGACTCGATGCGTACTATATATACATTGTACACAGTAACACAGCAGAGATGTGTCGAGACACTGAGTGAGTAGTTACGTAATCGAAATTTATCAATGAAGTCTGAAGGAAGAAAACAACTAAACCATACAAAGACGTTATGTAATTTCCACACAGAGATTCTTTTCCTCAGACTTGTTACATCACTTAACACGTCCTAGTCACGACGTGGCGGTAATCGCGAGCTCGATTTTTCGAGTCTCGGGTTTCACAAACGTTCGTGTACCCCAAATACCTTACTAATGAGATCCGTGCGCTGCCGCTCGAAATGAGACTCGCAGAATGTAATAACACTGTGCATAATTTCGTGTTTGTAGTGTTTCATTAAAGAAAAACTCTAACATAATGTGCGTACACACATATATATGTTATATATCATATATAATACATATATATATATATAAACAGTGACTCTCAAAACTGTTGCAATGATTTACTTGTTTGAATTTAAAGAAGAATATTAGAAGGACCCTGATGTCAACAAATACTCTTGTATTCGTAAGAGAGACACAATAAGCATTCATACACTGTTATCATGCGCCGTAAAACTAATCGTAAACAAACCTGTGCCAGTCGAAGTTTATCCGTCGATTGCAACAGTTTTACACTTTGTATTATTCTTTCTACTATATTGTGAAGTTTTCCATCAGATAAGTCAGTGCTGTATTAAATATGTATCGTATACGTTAGCGCATAAAATAAAGAGTTTTTGCATAGAAAAAAAATATTTTTTCGCAATATTTTAAATTAATTTGGGGGGATATTCGGGGTTCTTCATATACGAGATGCAAAATTTAGCATCCTATATGATTATTAGAATTGTAATTAGAATTCAAAAAAACTCACGTGAAAAAAACGTGAATTCGATTATATATGTGTACACACGCACATACATATATATATATAGACATGTTTCCCGCATAACATCCAGCGAACGACCGATCATATTCATTTATTAGTTTAAAGACTTCAGAGCCCGAGATGAATCTCAGTTTTAATTGTTAAAAAATATATTGTTGACTATGAAGCCGATTTCTAATAAGATAAAAAGTGTCATTTATTTTCTAAAACAAAATTTATCAGTGCGACAGTGGCAAAAAAAGTTGGTATCCACTACTCCAGTGTAAGTCGAATACGGAAAAAAGTTTTGTCAAAGTGTATTAAATCATTAGGTGGTCGTCCTCGAAAATTAAATGAACGTGACCGTAAAAGTTTAGTTAGATTAATAAGAACTGGAGAAGTTGATAATGCAGTACCAAATCAAAAAATCCTTAAAAATCGTCTTGGAATGGATGTCGGTGCTCATACTGTCCTTGTAGAGCCTTGAAACAAGAAGGATTCGTAGCATGTGTTAAAGTTAAAAAACCGCTTCTTACCGCAACACATCAAAAACTGAGATTACAGTTCGCTCAAAAATATATTAACTGGACGGTTGACGACTGGAGAAGAGTTGTATGGTCTGACGAGACGAAAATTAATAGGCTTGGATCAAATGATCGTCAATGGATATGAAAAATGCCAGCATCTCGACTAACTGATAGGTACATTCTCCCAACCGTAAAATTTGGCGGAAGCAATATTATGGTGTGGGATTGCATCAGAGGCAACATTGTTGGAAAATTTTTCAAAATTGAAAGAAGGATGAATGCGGATGCCTACATTCATATTTTAAAAACATCACTCTTACCAAGTTTGAGTATATTTCAGCAAGAGATTGTTTTCCAACAGGATAACGATCTAAAACATAAAGCTAAAAAAAACAATGAATTGGATCACCGATCACGGATTATCGCTACTAGATTGGCCTCCTCAGTCACCCGATATTAATATCATTGAACACGTATGGTTTTATATCAAACAGTTGGCTAAGTGTTCAGACGCATCTAAATCTGTTCATGAACTGTGGCAGCGAGTTGAACGTGTTTGGAGTGAAATTCCTGAACAATTTTTGAACAATTGGTTAACAGTGTACCCAAACGATTAGAGGCTATAATAAAAGCTAAGGGTAGCTATACTAAATATTAAAAATAAGAGAGGTGCAAAAGTGTTGAAATGCACGGTTAAAATACAAAAGACCATATTTCTTTTTCAGAATCTAATTAAATCTTAAATTTCTCTATTTTTCAAAGTATACAAATGTTACTTTATTTTCAATAAAATTATTTTTTTTCCAGCAACGATTATGAATTTTTTATTGAATTTTTAATCTATAATTGCGTAATAAATAAATATATGTATATTTTTTTAAAATGATACTTCACGTGTAAATTTTTACACGTGAATTTGAAACGAAATTTCAATTTCTAAATTCATATAGGATGCTGTACTTGCATCATCATGTGTATATGGACGCTAATAAGCAATACAAATAGCGATGTGTGTCAACCCACATCGCTATTTTGAGGATTACGCCTTAAGATTAAAAAAAAAAGATGTTTGTATATATATATATATTTTTTAAGATGTTTGTGTATTTTTGATATATAAAAACATTTTAAGTTTTTAAAAACACTATTGAACAACGTTCTTTGATAGCTAAAGAAGCACATTAAACATAAATATCTCAATATTTCAGTTTTTGTGGGTTGACACCGTATTGCTTATTAGCATCTATATATGAGATATCCCTGAAATCGAACCTGAAATCTCCGGCTTATCGTGCCGTTAGTTTGTTAACTAAAAGAGCCTCTAAATCTCATTATTATTAATTGTTTATTATATATATATTTTTTAAATATTTGTCAAAAGTTGCAATTGAGAATTACTAAGTTAGCTTATACTCACCGCTATCGCGTACAACAGCGTACAACGACTCCGCGTACACGGCCTAATTTCTCTACTATTGATTTGTATCGTCGGGGTCTTATCAGCGTCTCTTTGTGCGCGCAGAGAATTAAAAAAAGAAAAAAAAATCACGATGATTTTCTTGCATGCAAATGTGTTAACGCAAATATAATCCTCGTTTGTGTGCGAGCTTGCACGAAACGCTCGTACGATAATATCTCGGAGAAACTGTATAAAACTTGAAATAAAAATTCTTAAATGTTAAAGTCATAAACCGCATTGATGTACGATGTGCGTCCACATATTCCGGATATATTCAAGAACTTTTTGCTGTAACGACTTATCGCTGAGAGAGTTAATTTTAAATGCATTATTCTGCAGCATTTATTATTCTACAACATTTCACATCTCCTGAATAAAAAGACCTTATTTATGCGTACGTATGTGTGTGTGTGTATGTCGCAGGCTGACAGTGTTAGGTATTCTGCTGGGTATTCTCGAATGGAACCGCGGCGATACCTGTATTCTTCTTTTATGGGAGTATATGATCGGGTATGAGGTTCTCCTTGCGGTATGTATGGTGGTGGAATTCTACATTTGCTTCCTGGCGATGAGGGGCAGCATCCTGGATACTGCACGAAGAGCGCCGATGCAATACATTCTTTACATCCGGCTGTGTGAGTACATCTCTCCTACTAGTAGGTTGCTCATTCGCTGTTACGTCATGAATATCGGAAACGGTGTTAAATCAATATAAAATTACAGAATTATGAAGATGGGAGAGAGAGGGAGAGAGAGAAAGAGAGAGAGAAAAAAACTTGTCTTGCTTTTGCTTGGACGACGATTTCCGATGAATCTTATGTAATAAATTAAATAACAAAAGATAAAGAGAACATTGAAATGATTTGGACTTTTTTGCATGATATGATTTTAGTTTTGGTACTAGTGGAGATCGGATGGCTATGCGCGGGTGTTACGTGGTTAATGCATTATTATCAAACCTGCCTAGTGGACCAAGCTAAAGACGTTATGTTAGGTGAGACTTTGAGAAACGTTTCTATGTTCCGACTGAAAATTTGCGCCGGTAAATTATTTCAATGAAAACTGAGTAAATTAACTGTCAATCTTAAGACAGATTTTAATTAAGATGCTTTGCATATTTAACAATCTTACAAATTTTAATAAAACTGATAAAAAACATAGCTCACAGTCGATTATTTATTTATTTTTTTTTTTCAAGAAAATTTAAATTGCGAAAAAAATTTGTAGTTTCCGATTGTAAAGTTAATCACGTTGAAAATGAAACACAAAAACAGGTTTGGTGATATCGAATTGGTGCTTGCTGGCGTTAATAATGGTGACCATTTGGTGCACGTACGATGCTGCGGGCAGATCCTGGGTGAAAATGAAAAAATATCAGCGCAGCATGAGAGAAGCGGAATCAAGAGGCGCTCGGTTGCATTACAAGCGCAGCGGCAGCAGAACTCGAAATTGGCGACAACGGTAAATCACTTTTTTATCGCGTTTTACACATTAACGTTTTAGATTTGCGTGAAACACAGTTTTGTTAAAAGAGATAAAATTCTGCAACTCTTAATGCCGTGTATATATATATATATATATATATATATATATATATATTTATGTACAATAAAATCAGCTTCCAAGATAAAAAATCTGCTTTTGTTTGTTATTGCGACAAAATATAAAAATGAGGTGAAATTATATATATATATATACATATATATATATATATATTTTATTGTACATAAAAAAAAAATTGAAAAAAAAAAGATCTAAAGCAGGACAGAAATTACTTCGTGAAAAATGTGCGACGAATTCCGATACGTATCCAAAGCGCGACAACGGCGTTGCAGTTTTTTCCACACTTTTTGACGTGCCATTTGTCTACTTCATGTCGCCTGCTATCATCACCCGGAGTTTTGTTCAAATTTTATGACCGTTCCAATTTCTGCGTTAATGTATTTATTCGAAAGTTCTAAACATGTTTTACGTCTTTTTTACGTTACAGAAAAGTTATACGTGCCTATCAGGATAGCTGGGACAATAGGTGCAGGCTGCTTTTCTGCTGCATGGGCAATTCGGATCGTAATCGAGTGAGTGGCGTAGAAAAGTTAATTAAAAGAGAAATGAATTTATCTATATTTAAAATACGTTATGTGCCTTGTACGTTATCCACACGGACAAGTAAATATACACAAGTAAATATAAAAATACACAAGTAAATATATCGTCCTATTTTTTAATTTAAAAAATTAAGAAACTGATTGCAAAGTGGATTAAACTTTGTGAGTGACAAAGAAAAATTGTTTTCTACTTTCGCGGATAAAAAATAAGCTAAGCTCCATTGAAATCGTAAGAGAAGAAAAACGATATATCGCTGTTCGCAGAACTCATTTGCCGACATTGCTCGGCTGCTGAGTGACTTCTTTCGCGACTTGGACGTAGTGCCGTCGGACGTGGTGGCCGGTTTGGTGTTGCTGAGGAAGTTCCAGAAAATCGAGCGCGAGCTGATAGTGAAGCAGCGCAAGAATGACACGTACGAGTTCCTGTCAGGAGTGCCGGTCACTCCGCGCACCAAGTTTTTGTCCCTGACCGAGGATGGTGATCTAGGCCATTTCCAGCTGGCCATTCACTATATGCACTTCGCCCTCGCCGCCTACGGCTGGCCCATGTTCCTCGTTGGTCCCTCCACCGAGCTCTGCCACTTGTGCACCAGGTAATTCTCTCGAATCTCGCTTGTATTGAAATATTCATGTAGGATGTATTCTGCCGGCTAACATCGCCGATATGCTTTGATAACGTGATTTCCTCAGGCTCTTGTTCCAAAAAGAAACAGTCTTGTTACATGTATATGAATATTAGACGATGAAATATGTTTTCGCTATTTACCGTTAAAGAAAACTCGAAACGTTTATTTAAAAAATCACTACCGTAACGGCGTGTGCGAATAAAAAAATCATTGCTGGCGTCTTCAGTTTTGAGTCAAAAAAATGATTAGAACTAGAAATATTCAATACTGTAGTTAGAATCAAAGATGTTCTATCTCCACTTATCCATTTTTCGCGTATTTTGACAAGATAAGATTGTTTGTCAAACAAAATTATATTTTCTGTACTTGTTTAATATTCTATATAAAACTTTTCTGTATACTCTCTTCGGGTTTTATTGTAAATATATATGAAAACTTTAACGTAAAGTAAGAGAGACTGAAGCGCGCGCCGAGAGAGAGAGAGAGAGAAAAGTTGCAAGATATTGCAAAGTCTTGCAAAGTCAATATACTTTGAGAAGTGAGTAGGAGCGTAACGATAACTTCGTAGAATGAAATCAGTCGATTCGTCGATGAGCTTTAATTTAAAGAAAAGTTGTTATAGTCCACAAGAGGCGAAGAATTCTTCACACGAATATCGTTTTCCCGTTTGAAAACTTTTGATTGTGCACAACGCGGTATAAAATCGCGTGGCATTAGAATCGATCCCGCGAGAACAGAAAGAAGTTTCTCTTTTATGCGCCGTCTTTTCTCTCTTGGTGCCGACGATCGGTCGATGAAGTCAAGTGAAGTAACAACACATGAAATGGAAATTTTTTTCTCGCGGAACCGAGATTCAACGTCGCGCTCAGCGCGACACGCTAAAGTAGTTTTCTTCGCAGCATACATATATATATATATATATATATATATATATACACACACAATATATGCGCGCGTCCAAGATAAACAAAATAATAACCACCAGTAAATGGGTAAACTAATTTGCGTTGTTTATATACTTGACAGATTGCAATGCTGCTACTGCCTTCCATGCGGCGCCCGTCACGAGGACGACGTGACGATCGTTGAGGACAACTGCTGCTGGTGCAATTACGCCGCCCTGAGAAGGATGCTCGACTTGGGGGAGATCGAGGTTGTCTACGCCACCTTCCACGTTGACGTCGGCGAAACGCCGTTTTTCGTCGCGCTCGATTACACCAAGAGAAAGGTCTGTGTCGCCGCTTGTCCCGAGTGTGTCAATTTAATTTAATTAATGTTCTCGTTACCGCGCGAAATTGTAAACATTAACTTCTTTAGCCGAAAGTGGAGAAGTGGCAAAGTTTATTTCCTTTCATGTTCTGGATTACTGTTCAAAATCGACTTTGACTATTTGGCAAGTTAACGTCGTTCCGCGCCGAAGTTTCGTTTTATTTTTTCTGCGTGTAATATATTTCGACCGCACGTTTCTTCAGATTGTGATTAGTATACGTGGAACAATAAGCATGAAGGACGTATTGACGGACTTGAACGCCGAGGGCGAAGTGCTGCCTTTGACGCCGCCGAGGGAGGACTGGCTAGGGCATAAAGGAATGGTGCAGGCCGCCGAATATATACGCAAGAAGCTACAGGAAGAAGATATCATTGCGCGCGCTCGCGCCAAGGTGAGCACAAATTGTATGTAATAATGCGCGAATTGGTGTGCGAGTCTCGTTGCTCGTTATCGACGTGGTCAATAATTCCGAAATAATTACCGCGCTGTGCTCTCTATCGTTGCGTAACAATTTGGCGATTAAATGTAACGCGTATAACGAGCTGAAGTTTCGACACAATAGCGAACGGTAACTGAATTTTTAGGTATTTAAAATTTCATGCGAAATTTTTGTTTCGCATTTAATTAACATTTAAAAGAGAGAGCAAATCTTGTTGAATTTATTTGAACGTTCGATGGCTTTCGCTTGAAACAAAACGCGTTGCATAACACATAGGTACTTTTTCGTCGATTTCTCTCCGTGGAACACACATCGCGAAAAAGAAGAAGAACCAACAGTATAAGCCATTTATATCGCGTGCTTCTGCGTGCAGAGAAATGTTCCAGTAACCTTTTTCGTCGGATTTAACGAACCGCGTGTCATTGAGCGTGTTTTGAGGCAGTAAAATTTTTCAGACGGCAGACCCATTCCGTGCAACGGATGTGTACGCGAAGTTTATACGTACATATGCGCACGCACATATATCTACATACCGCATAAATATAGACGATATATATCTTTATTTGTTTTCCTTTTCACATGTGTATAGGCCTTTTCTAAATTCGTGCCGCGAGAGATTTTGGAGAATACACACACACACACACACACGCACATACAGAAGGACGTGAAACTAAATATTTATTTACAATTGAAAACTAATGCTGAAAGAGAGAGTATAATCGGCGTTGATTTTACTGAAAAATTAATAAGTTAAATAATTAAATCGAAATATATTAACAAGATATTTGTATTTTTGTAATTTATTACGACAAACCACCCAAATGTTCATGATTTTAGACTTTAGTCGCCAGAACATGTTTCTCGCGTGAAGATAATTTTATCACAAAGTCAAAACTTTTCCTTATAAAACTTGTCGCCTCTTGGTCGCTGTCTGCGTACTAAAGAACGATAAGAAAGCAACTTTATAAAAGCGTAACAAAAACTAGAGTAGAGACGAATAGAAGAATGCGAACGAGATTAGATCTTCCCTACTCCGATCAGACAATTTTTAGAGAAACAAATATTTTGTATGTCGTCAAAGATAATTGAAAGAATTTTGTCAATCGAACTTTGCTACAGGATCCTTCCAGAGATACGCATCAGTTCGGACTAACACTGGTAGGACACTCGTTGGGCGCCGGCACGGCGGCGATTCTCGCGATTCTGCTGAAGCAAGACTATCCGGATTTAGTTTGCTTCTCGTTCGGGCCACCCGGTGGACTGTTGAGCATGCCAGCTCAGCAATATACTCAGGATTTTATTACCTCCGTGGTGGTGGGTAAGGATGTCGTGCCGAGGATCGGACTCCGTCAAATGGAGAGTCTGAGAGCGGATCTTATCAACGCTATCAAGAGAAGTGTCGATCCTAAGGTATATGAGAAGTTAATTATTCCCCTAACTCGAAATCTCAGTTTTTTTTTTTTTTTTTATTAAAAGTATATCAAGAGCTTAGTTTATTCGCAAATTATTCTTGCAAGATTTTAGGTAATTTAAAATCTCACGTATTTTATTATTTATACACACAAATAAATTGTAGAATTAATTAATTACATATAATCAATTATTTACGAAATATTCGATTTTTGACAAATATCATTTGTAAAATACAACAAAGTTGAGAACTCACGTCAGATATTTTGAAATTATGAAAACAATAACGCAAGTATGCGTATGTTTATTTAGTGGAAGACAATAGTGTGTTCGGTAATGTGTTGCGGATGCGGTTCGACGCCCACATCGGCCGCAAATCTGGAGGCTGGTGGTTGCATCAGCGAATATCAGCGGGATAAAGACCGAGCACGTGCTCAAACCGTGGTACCCAGCGACTCCAGCATCGCTCTGACTCTGCACAGGCCCTTGTATCCGCCAGGACGAATCATACACGTGGTGCGACATCATCCGAACAAGGGCGAGTAAGTAGATAAACTGTTTATATATTTGTTCGATGTTTTATCTAAAAAAAAAAAAAAAGAGAAGCACTGCGCACACATCTAAAATGAAAACTTTAGCAATTGTATTCCAAAAGAAAACTAAATTATACTGCAATATAAACTAAAATTAGTTTATATTTTGTGCAATAGTGAAACAACGAACGGACTTCAGTGTGCTATTGTTTTTATATTCACTTACGATGTAAAAATAAATAATAAATTTTTTAACATTTGTCTCACTGATTATATGTTTTACAATTTAAAATCTTTTACTCATGATTGTAAATGTCAAAAAAATTATCTCTGTTTCGATACACTATGAGAATACTATTTTGATACAATATGAGAATTAAACAGAGAATAGATCGTATTCAATTCTTATTGTGTGAGATATTGAATGAAACAATGACGAAAAGTGTTAATTACACTTATATTTCTTTCTAGGGAGAAATATGAGACGAGTTGGAGGTACGTTTTATCAGATAGTTCGTACATTTTCGGGATTACTAAACACATGAAGTTTTATTGCATCTTGAGAATATGTTTGCACGCGTTTTGGGGGAGGTATAAATCCCACGTTTATTGCGTACGACGTTACTTTTTCTAAGTATCTTTCGCCGCAGACGCGGGATCCTGCGAACTTCTTTAGTTAGAATGGTTTTCAAGTAGCTTGAGAAAAATATATGTCAATGTGAAGTTGAAATTCTATTTTGTATACGCAAAATAACCGTTTTGTATCGAAAGCGGTTTTAAAGTCGCAAATTATAAAAGTACAAATCTCGATAGATGAATTGAAAGTATCGATTATCGTAATTAATTTATTAATTTAACTAAAACGATTTAATTTGAATTTCTATTTCTCTCGTTGATCAAAGAGAGAGATAAAAAAGGTGTTATTTTTTAAAGATATATACATTTTATATATTGCATACATTTTCCTCGAGATACACAAGATATATGCATGATACTTCCACACTGGCAATGATGCATTAAGAGAAATGTTTGGAAATGTTCTTTTTATATATATATACAACTTTATTACGTTCATCATGATCTATCAAAAGTCTGTCGAAACTCATTTTCCACAAGTTTTCTCGTTAGTTACTTGATTACATTTTTCACATAAAATGATCTGCATGCTTTCATCCCATAGAGACAGTCTCTCGCGGGAAATAAATTAGCGCAATACAAGACATCCTGATTTTCTCTTTAGAAACTCTCGTATTTTATCAGGACGAGGAATTTCATGTATAGAGTATCAATTAAATTTAATGAGTTCTTCAATATTATGCGCATTAAATCTTCTTTGAATAAATTAAAGTTCGGTCGATGGAATAGGAAATTAGATCACAGGATAGCTTTAGCTTTTTTGAGAAAATCGAGATTAAAGACAACGCGGATGAAAAATAGCGTAAAACGATTTTTTCCGGCTTTTATTTGTCAATTTTTCGTCTCTCTTACATTGGATTGCAGGCAAATATTGAGAAAACGCGAACCGGTGTATCAGGCGCTCTGGGCCGGTCCGTGCGACTTCGACGAGGTGTTGATCAGCCCGGTGATGATACAGGATCACATGCCGGACAACATGTTGCGGGCACTGAACAAGGTAAGACCGGACGCGGTTGTGCGACAGCAGGCGAAGCGATCGCAGGCACCGCTGAGTCGGACTCCGTCGGTGAAACCGGGCCATTACGAGCCTCTGGAGGAGACCACCGACGGGCCCGACGTTCCCAGCGAAGTGATTCAGCGGGATCGGGCGGCCACAAACGTGGATAACCAGACCGTTAATAATTACGATCGTGCGTGTGCTCGGCCGGGTATCGATGATTGCACATCGATCATCGTCGACGTAGAGATACACGAGTGTAAAGAAACGTTACCGAACTCGCATTGACTGTGACGATTAGTTTTTACCGACGATTGTTCAGATTGTAAAATCGGTAATAATGAGACTCCATGACTGATTAAATATCAAAAAGAGTGATTAAGTATCAAAAAGAGAATAACGTGCGAGTCACGTTAAAACAAACAGTCGAACTGTAATTATAAAGAATTTTTATAGTATTACCATAGGGTTAATTGCACATACAAAACACACGTTTGTGTAATTAATTTCTTTTGATACTTGTTCACGTTTGAGATTTTAGCGTAGAAAGTTAGCTGTAGACTCGTTGAGAGAATAGATATTGTTGCTAATGTAATTGTCTTTTCTTAGCGTAATTGTTTTATTAGTTTAGCGTGTACAGTCGTATTACTGTTTACTTTTTATTTATCAGATTTTATTGCGATTGCTGCAAGTGCGCGTACTACTACTACTGTATTTTCAACAAAACGATGTGATTGTACATTTTATATTTACACATGAATTTGATACGATTCACAGAGAAGTGTACCGTTTCAGTCGAGAGTAATGGATGAGAATTTATAAGCAATCTCCCTTTCTCTCCTCCTCACAGAGGAAAATTCAAATCCCTGGCCCGGTTTAAAAATTTCGATTCTGTATGAGTTTTATGTCGTTTTCGCGTGATCGGAAGGGAAAGCTATTTAGAAGTTGAGTCTTTATTGCCTCTCTCCCCATTGATTATTATACTGCCTAAAGATAAAATGAGTTAACACACACGACTGACATGCATGCTCTTCTACAGTGCATGAACTATCGTTCCGTATCGAATTAGCGGCTAACCCAACGGCATATAAATCTGTTTCCGCACGCGACTTCATTGCTTATTGATGCCCAGGCACTTGCTCACAATCCGAGACGTAAAGTGAAGAGAGGCTTTTCTTTCATATGTTGATTTTTCGCTTTTTATATGTTGATGTTTCTCCTATATGTTATTTTTGTTTTTCATTTCAGGTGGAAAGAAACACAATCAAAATAATAAGTTTTTAATTCTTCGAGAATTGCCGCTATTAGTGAAACATTTAATTTTTTGTGACCAACTTATGACACGTGCTTTTTCTTTTTAATTTGACAAACAATGTTTATACTTCATATATGTACTAAAAGTTGAGCTTCGAGCACAGCCATTCATTTTATATCAATGCGTATCCTGCTTTTTAACGAAGATTGGCCATACCGTGTTTTATTTAATAGTTCTTTATCTTTCTCTCTCTTTTTTTCTTCCTCTCCTTTCTCTTTCTCTTCTATTTGTTACACGCAAAACGACTAAAATTTTAAAATATAAACACGAAAACACAGGTGATTCTCTGGACGAAGTTACTCTGTGTGCAAAAATTGGTTCATATTCTTGTTATGAATTTAGCGCTAAAATCGGGTATTTGATTTTATATTCAATTTTTACAAACTTTCTTTCTCTCTCTCTCGTTAGAAAATACTCCGCACTTGGAATGTATGCGCTTATGTGTATACATAACGAAAAATTTAACGATCGTATATTTTTAGTCGCTAAATTCGCGTTCAACAAAACATAGGTGTCATATGTATATACATATACATTCATATATATATTTTTTTACAACGCTAGCCTGAAAAATATGTCGCGATGTGAATGGAAATAGACAGGAAGTTTCACGCTGGTCGTTTTGTGAATGCACACTTTTTGTTTTGCAACAACTTTGTTATTATTATGTATAATTTTGCGAGACATGTACATAAATATTACTTCGATCAATATACTTTCTGCCACGAAAACGATGTTGTTCATTTATGAAAGAGCTTCCTAATGGCTTCTTAATCACTTGCGTAATTGCTTGGAAACAAAACTGGAAGCATGAGATATAAAATAGGATTCGAGATGTAAAAGCAAAGAGCGACGTGTGGTAAATTATCGAACAGATGCTTTACGATCTCAACGAATGTTTGTGCGCATGCAATTCAATTCTTGCAGACTTTTAAGAGTGAAAATAAATTTGGATTGCAAAGAGTTAATAAATGTTCGACCACCATATTGATAGTACACGTTCGGTCACTGAGACATTTTATTAAATCCTATTTCAATACTGCTGAGTTTTGTTTCTCAATTTGAGTGTTCTTATTCTTGTCATATTTATTTCGCCATTCTGCGATTTATTTGCCTAACTAGAGCGTTTGATTATTATTACTTTTACCATGTACTTTTCTTGCGCTACCGTTTAATTTTACAGTCTGCTGTCTCAACACTACTCCGGCACGCACGAAGCGTTAATGCGTAACGCGCACTCGGGCATTTCACACTCACACAAAAGCGGCGATGATTGACTATCAGTTCGCTTCTAGCCGCGTGTTCTGCGTGTCGGAGCCGCGAATTTCGCTGTATGTTCAACAACAAATATGTGATAAGCGAAAATTATTTCATTTCTCAGAGTGAAATGTAAAACATTGAAAAAACGACAAATTTTTATTCATCAGGCAATAAAAAGATTCCGCGAGCGGTGAATATATGCACGCGCGCATGATTAGATAGATTTTTTACACGATAAAAGAAACCTTTGTTTAGCTGATCCGACTCCTCCATCGAGGCGATTCTAAATAGTCACTGACGGCGTGACCGATTGTAGTAGGTGGTTCTCAAGATCTGGAATAAGTTAAACAAATCGACAAGATTGAAGCGCACACAATCAATTATCAATAATTAACGGGACGAAATGTTTGGGACGATTCACGACACGCCTAACTGTAAAGTTTTGAATAGATTTGAGCGCGCGAAACTTAGAGGCATGTCTCTTTCGAGTGCTTATATATGTTGAGAATTTGTCGCGAAAATTCGATCAGACTGACGAAAAAAAACACAAGCGATAAGATAAGAAACGTAACGGGTGGCTGATGAGGGTGGCTGCGGTGTGGATTAGGTAGTGGCGTGCAAAGATCGGGGAAGCTGCGCGGAAGCGGGAGCAGCGACGGTAATGGAAGCCGATGTTGCCGCAAGTATAGCAACCGAGCTCGCGCTACCACCCCACCTTGATCAGTACTCACACATCGTGGTGCTCCACCGTCGGGACACACTGGACGCCGACACCAACGCACCCTCCTCACGCCACGACACTACAAGGTATATACCTGAAAAACGGGGATTTGTTTATATCCGGGATCTATTTTTCGAATCCGACATATATTATGTAACAAAAAATATCACAGATTGTATAATCTTCATTCGAGAATCCATCGATCCGCGCGTATCTTCGAAAATTCGTAACGGATCGATCCGCGTGTGGATGTGTGTAAACAAAACCAAGTGTCCCGAAAATTGTTTAATATCCCGTATCGATTTTCTTTTTTTTTATCTTGTTTATATTCCAGATATCGGAACATTAAATTGGAATCTCGTGCAAATTTAATTACAGTTCAAATCGGATTTACAACGTAATTAAATTCTGATATTTTGCGAAAAAATATCACCAATCAAACCCGAGTTACTCGGAATATGTTTATATGAAACAATATCATGTGTTTACACTTATTGTTTGCCGGCAATTTTTGATTAGTTTTGTTTTTGTGAAATATGAAATTGGAAGACGCGAGAAACCGATCGGAGCTCTGTTCGCGAATCGCTCGCGAACTTTGGCTGAGCACTTCCTGATGCAGCATTGATCTTCCGCTCAGATCAAAAACGGCATACACGTCATACATGTATACACCACACATATACATTACGCATGCATGCGCATCATATACTGATTGATTACGTATCATTTTCGTCGTGTACCTCGACCAGAGGCGAGAGATTGCTCTAGAGCGGATTTGTTGTTACACCACAGTGTATTGTCTGATCGCTGCATGTTAGCAATTTTATTGTGATCGAGCAAGTGCTGATATATACTGTCTGATTAACTAAGAAGTAGCGTTGACAATACTGTTGTAGATGAATAATAGTGACTTGAACTAATGTCAGTTTTTTGGTATCAAGTATGACATATTACACTAAAAGATACACCTACATGGCAGATATAAAAATAATCAAATATATAGAAATGAACTATGTATCTACATATAATTGCAAGATATATATACGTACAAAGATATTCAAAACGCGAAGCAAGGATTTACATAAAAGTACTGCCAAATTATATATACAAAAATTCCGGAAATCGTATTGAAGATTTTAACACAAATCGACGGAACTAGATTAGATCTGTATACTTGTAAGTCTTTTTTACAATGCTCTGTGGCCCGAAGATACGACTATTTACGCCGCGGCCGCGTCGTGGCTTCGCATATGTCAGGTTGTGACAACGCTGGGACCGGCGAAGCCCCAGCGACTGGTGTTCGGACACGCGTCGTCGACGGAGGCATCCTCGTCGGAAGCGGCGCGGGATCAACAGGCGATCGAGGTACACGAGCTCGAGACGCAGGAGCAGGAGATGCGGGCGTTGCTGTCGCCGTCCACCCCGACCAGGTGTCCCGGCAACCTGGCGGGCACGCCACCCCATCGACTCTGCCTGGAGACGAGTTTCACGTCATTGCAGAGCCCGACGGACATACCGCAAGCCGGTCGCGAGCTCAGTGTGGACTCCCATGGCATTCCGTGGGAATACGTCAGTCTCACCAGCGAGCTGCTCAATACGCCCAGGCCGGAGGACAAACCGTAAGAACGAGAACATTTAAAAACTCTTGACGGTTCGATATTTCGTGATATGTTCACATTTTGCGGCGTGTGTGTGGGAAAATTGAAGTTTGACGTATAAACAGGCGTAAGAAGTCGAATACTTTCGACGTTTTGCATTTTGATCGCAAAGAATTAGCAACGTCGAGTTGAAACGGGCGAGCGAATTGAAGAAGAGGAGACCGATACGTATATAGCCAGCGAATCGATTATGTGATCGATGGTATTTAAGTTCTTAATTGTCAACTGATTATGAAACTACCTGCAAAAGGTAATCACAAACTGTCTCGATCGAATTAAACTGTAAAGTTTTTTGAAAACAAACTGACGGAGAGAGATGAAATTTATTTCTAGATTAAATAGAGCGGGAGAAAATCGCTCATTCATTCAATTAGTTATCGCACTCGCTTCTCAGACTTTAGCAATCGATTTCACCCTCTCATTCATTCTCGCTTCACTCGCTTAACTCTGAATCTTTATCGAAATCATAATAGCACTCTTCGAATTTCATCGCACAACTGTTATCACAAATGATCATGTTCGCGCAGGAAGTGTTTCTAAACGAAAAGTCCGAAAAAGTATCTTAAATAACTTATTATCACATAAAAAAACCTAATATAAAAATCAACTTAATTTATTAATAATAATAATTAAAAATCTTTATCTTTCCACTTGAGCTAAATTTGCATGTCAAAGCTTGTCGCCCCAACAAAAAAGTTTTCTCTGTGCGAAATAAAACTCGGTTCTTTTTTCTTCTGACGAAAAGTCCGAATCGCTGGGACGACACAAAGCGCATAGCGCCCTTGGCCACGCCGGAAACGCTGTCGGAAGCATCGACGAGCGGCCCGCCGTCGCCAATTGTGCCAGTGCCCAGGCCGATGCGACGCACCCCCAAGATCCCGGGAAACTTGTCAACGGCGGCGGACGACTTGAAGAACAACCTGCACTACGCGATGCTCTCGGCGAAGAACTACTTTCTTAGAACTGCGGGAGAGCACACGGGTGACAGCAACAACGGCAGCAGCAGCGGCAACAGCGAAGCGAGCTACGAGAGCGCCAAGAGCCTGGCCGCCGCTGGTCTTCCGCCGCCGGTTCCGAGACGACGGGACTGCGTCTCCGTCAGAAGGTCGGTATTCCTTTCTCCGCTGAAAGAATCATTTATTTGCTTTTAAATTAACATTCTGTCCACGCACGTTTCAACAGGTGTGTGTAGAAAACAAAAATAAATCATAAAGTAATGTAATTATTTGTAACGTATGAATGCAGAGAACAACGAACGTGCACGGCAGCGTGTTGCAGAGACGATCTGTCGGAAAATTCGCGCACGTCCTCGCATTCTTCCAAAGTTTCCCGTACCTCGCGTCGCATCCAGGTGGAGTTCAACGAACAAACGAATGAGACCAACGGGTCGAGCCTGGACTTCTACGAAGCAAAAGTACTTGAAGAGAATAAGTGGCCTTTACATCTTACTTTAATTACGTTAGCTTTAATTACGTACTAATTACTGAGCAATGTATCGATATCTTCAGGGCTCGTCCGGTCAACACGACAGCAGTAATGACGTATTTCTCAGCGTGCGTAGTTCACCAGAGTGCAAAGGTCTCATGGCGCCGGCTACGGATTTAGGCGCTGAGTGGAAGAAGCAGATCGATGCCACGGGTGTGAGCGGCGACACTTCGTTGCCGCTTCTTCGTGGCTTGTCGCCCACACCGACCCCCGCTCAACACAGTTCGCCGTTCTTCAATACCAAGCGGAAAAAGTACGTGTATCCTATCACGTTGGTGGGACGAGGAGAGAGTAGCGTCTAGCCGCGTGAACTTTATTCACGTGTAGCGAGCAATAGCGAAGACGTTTCTTGAACATTTTGGCGGAGAAACTGCTGAATCGAAGAGATGTGGTTTAGAAGCTTCAACGAGAGGAGATATATATTGTAAAAACAAAACTAGCTCGACATAATGTAACAAACCTAATCGAGGACCACGACTTATTTGATAGTAATATCCAGAAGATGACATTCGGACACGTTGTGCCAAATCCTATACATATGGTAATCTTCTCCTACTCTCTTTTTTCTCTATCTTCTACGAACAACAACTGTCGGAACGGTCAAAGCAACTACGAAGTTAGAACGTTTTTAAAATTTCTATCTCACACATTTCAGTATCCGCGTAATTTACAGATGAATTTGAAGACGAACATAAAATTATGTAATAACGAAATAAAACACACAAGTAATATGGAGCTACCCAGATAACCAAGACTGATTAAGCATATTTTGCAAAGTCTGTAAGAACACATTATGCCAGTACAATGTAGCCAACATTCAAACATAATCTGTTATTTCAACTAGTGTTGACAGAAAAACAGAAAAAAAAAGAATATAAATGTATCATGCCGTGATGCAAATATTATTGCATCAATCAAGCAGAACTTGTTAAAAAAATGTAGCAGATTTGAAGCATAATGTGCTATTGTCATTTCATTCATTTATTTCTATATTTTTACTGTGTTGTTTTCTTTACATATCGTGCCTACATAATTCACTCACTATGATGACACAGCTGAGTGGAATCTGCTGCAAAGTGTTGATTAACCCATTTGCATCGCAAAGAAAAGTCAAAAATTCGTTCTTATCACCAAAATTTTTTTGGCCTGGTATAAATAATATGCGCTTTGGTGATAAATGCCTAAGTAAAATGCGCGCATATATGCGCTCTGGTGATAGTGGCCAGGCAAAATGCGCACATATATGCGCTTATGATGCAAATGGGTTAAACCTGCGTGCATACTGCTGGCATACTGCTATCATTTGGCTATCGGGGTACCTCTTCTCTTTGTAAGATTTTGAACAGTTCCATATTATTGAAATCTACTTCAACGAGTATTAGAGAGGAAAGGATATCGATCTTTCTGTAGCGTTAAACACACACATGTTCTAGTCAGGAAATTAAAAACTTACGCTGCACACATACAGTGGCCTACTACTACGCATCGATATTATTTGTTAAGAGAATATAGTAAGATGAGAGATAACTGATTTTTATACACACTCTTATTCGAATATACAAATCCTGAATGTATGTTAAAGAAAATCTCTGATCTCACATACGTTTCAATCGGATGTTTGAACATACCTACATATATATATATATAGTTTGTATCGGGTTTTAGTTCAGAAAAATGTGTGCTTTAACGAAGTTAAACTATACACACACACACACACACACACATGCACACACCGCGCAATTAATCACCTGTTGATACTTTTCTATAACTGTGTGTGTGCGCAAAACAAAAAGAAAATCGAGTTAGTATATAATACTAAGTAAATGAAGAAAATTTTATTTCTCGCGAAGCATTATTGCTAATTGTATAGTTGAATAACCTGCGATCGCGTCAGGTGATGTGATTTCTAGGAATACGCTTAAAAAGATTGAAGTTTCTCGACATCGCTGTACTTATGTAAAAAAAAAAAAAAACAATGTACTTATAACTGGCATTCAAGTAGTCAATATACAATATAATAAATTACTGACGCGCCTTGTACTGACATTAATATATAGTTCCCTTAGAAAAGAGAAACATATATATATATATACATAGAGCATATAGGGTTGATTTTAATGTAACAAAGATATTTATATAAGAGAAATAAATGATGAGAGAGACATAATGTTTATATATATTGTACATATTAATCCATTATTTGTATGTTTTTTTGGTGATTGTGTAAAATGATTTTAAGAACCACTGAAATAATATAAAACTTATAATATTGCGTATATCAAAGAGGATAATAAATTATTATACACAGTATCTGACTCTAGTTTAATCACATTCACGAGACACTCCTCAGTCAATAATTATTTCTATAATTTGATTATTAATAAATTGTTTCACATTTTCTTCTTTCGTTCACCTTCAAGCACGTACTTGCATTCGTGTATACAAGTTATTAACAATTGTACATGATTGTGAATAAAATCATTTGTGTATTTACAACAATTCATTGCATTGCACTTGCCCACGGCGGCGTCATCGGTTGTGGATTTTGCACGTAGGACATCACCACTGCCGATATCGACAGCATGAAACAGCTGATTATCTGTTTGGCGTCTTCGCTGACTCGCGAATTGGCGAAGCTGATGCAGGAACAGTAGAGCGCAACCCAGGCGCACCACTTCAATCTCATCATCAGGCCGCACATGCTGAAGATCATCCCCATCACATTCATGTAGTCCGGTGGTAGATCCTCTTGCTGTCCCGGATTGTTCGAACCCGGTGGTTTGTAGCGGACCTCCTTGTCGGGTCGTCGAGGATCCGTTGAACTATTCATTTTGTGCTTTAATTCTGTAACGCAGAACGTTAACTGATAAACATTAACAAATGTAATATTTCATGTATTCTGAAAACAAGACAAACTGTGAAAAAGAAGTTAAAACCATACATACATATTTCCTAATGCCTATACCTTTCGTTTAAAAAAAATACACAAATGTGAGTCATAAAAAGATAAAAGTTTCAAAAAGTCGTACTTAAACACACGAGAGATATAAACACACTCTCTATAAATCTTTCTTCTCCCAATGCCTTTCCGACGATTTACAAAAACTTGAGAGAACTGTAAATAATCAGCTGATACGTCAGCACTCTTCTTCTCTCTCTCTCATTGTTCCGACATTCGGAATCGGAGCCCGCGTGGAGGCGCGCCTAAAGGTGGGTTTTCATGTCGCAACAAACACTGGACAGAACGCGTAAACTAAATACTCCAAATTCTCTATCGGATGGCCAATCGATACATCACCGAAGTTGGTCGCGCGACGATTGAAGCGGCACCCGGAAACAAAGTCAACCAATCGCGTTCAATGTAACAGAAGCGCTTTGGCGTTACATGGAGACATACATATGTGCACACAAAAGTGTGACAATCGGGAGAAAATAACACAATAATCTGATTATCGCTTTTGTCACGCGAGAGCTAAATTGTCGATAAAGAGCGTGTTATCGGAACGGTCGCGATGCCGCTGCAGTGCGTGCGCGTGATGTAGAGGCTAACGCGACTTCTCGTATCTGTGTATGCGCGCGCGCATATGTGTATGTATTATTGTTATATACCGTGTATACACGTTCGGAGTCTGGCTAGAGATTCGCCCGTGTGCATCAGATGCGCTTGTTCGTCGGTGTGCCTTTTGTATACGGAGTGCGCGCGCGCGTGCATGTGTGCTCTCCGCAAAGAAAACACAGCTTCGAAAAACAACCACGCTGCGAAAACGCTGCTTGTCCGTCTATCTGTCTTCCCAGTGACACCGTCGCGTCTCGCGCGGCGTTAACAAACCCGGCCGCGAGTTGGGGAAGCGCATCGTCGTCGGTCAAACGAGACAACGGAGAAGAGTCCGCGTCGCGGACTTACACACGAGTTTCGGACTCTGGAGTTGTTTCGGTGTTTCTGAGGCACACACGGTAATCTCGGCGTCGGTAATCGATATGACGACGATATTCGTGCGATTCGCGTAATCGCGCCCGGACGATGGGTCACCGTTCTGCTCGACGATCGTCGTCGTCGTCGTCGTCGCTCGCGAGCACCGCGAATCGTGGCGATTCAGTCGAGGTGAACGGTAGTGAATGAGAGCTCTCTCCTCTTTTTGTTTTTTTTTCGGTGCGTGTGTGTGCGCGTGCAATTCAAAAGAGACTCGCCAATTAAGTGAGTGAAGAGCTTTGTTTTGTGGGAAAGAGAGAAGGACACACACGGCGTGGTGCGCGCGCGGATAATTAAAGTGTCGCGGATAGAGAAAAAGTCGAGACTCCTTGTGCGACAAGTGACTTAGATAAGTGAAGACAAGTTTGTCTTTATTTTCGTTTATATACGTATATTATATACATACACACACATATATACATATACTATATACTCGTCGTGTGTTGCTTCACACCGTTTGCCCTCTTTCATTGTTATCACGTCGCATCGTAGCGAGTCGAGCGTTCGAATGTGGAGAGTGCCATGATGGTGATACGGTAAATAATTCATATTTAATTTTTATGTTTTACATGTACACGTCCTTCTCGTAGTTTTCCAAAACAAAAAACCTCCCTTCTCCCTCCTCCCTTGACCGTTGTTACGCACGGTCGATAGTGTTGCATGACACCGTGTGTCAACTCCGATCGACGTGCCGCAGTGCACCGTATGACTTCTTTACGTGTCCGCACCAACCGATACTGCGTCGCGTTGGCGTACATATATATATAATATGTACATACATATATAGATATGTTTGGCCCATGATTTGCCGCCGTATACAGAATAACAATCCGTTCGTAAGAAAAGACGTCTTAGCGCGTGTCGCGTTTATGTCGTTATCGCTCATTATCGCTTGAGACTGTGTGTGAAAAAAAAGAAACACAGCTATTCATTATAACAGGCTGTTATAATATTGAGAATGAAATGTTTTCTTTCACATCCTTCGATTCATCGTCTCGTCTATTTACCTTCAGCCCCCCTCCCGTACGAAAAAGCACATTATTTTTTTTTGTGAGTATAAAAAGGGAGCGCGGATTATTTTGTTGCGGACATTTTTTAAGAGCGCGTATACATTGTATAATTGAATTTTAGTGGTTGGGGGGAAAGCTAGTTAGGCGCGGAAAACGCACCGAGTGAAAATGCACAATAACGTCGTTCCATGTAAATGTTTTTTTTTGTTATCTACACCTGTAGTATCGAGAATCTGCGGCTTCTTGAATTACATTCTCACACCGCGCCTCTCACCTATCTTATCTTTCTCTTTGTCTTGCTTGAAGACAATTTATTATCTAGATTTGTTGCTCTTTTCCGTCTTAAATTCGAAAATAAGTATATACAAATGTGTGCAGTGAAAAAGAAGGAATTCGTCAACATTGTGTGCATGCTCGAGACAAGCGAGAAATGCATACAAAACATTCTTTGTTTGTTTTAAAACAGAAATGCTTGTGGTAGTGAGCGAGAAGACATTTGTTCGTTGCAACATACACACACACACACGTGCGTTGTTATTACACGGAGAAGCTTAATATTTTTGTTATCTTATAAATTACTGAGCTGTTGTGTGTGTGTGTGTTAATAATTTTTAACAAATAAGGTTGTTCGAGCTGTTTTCTTTTATCACAACAAGATTGAAATATTGTAACACAGCAGTCCTAATAGCCCATTTTGTATATGTAGTATATAGTTAAATATTTGGAAACGATCAAGAGAGAAAGAGAGAGAGAATAGGACCATCTTCCACACATGTACCTCAGTTTATTATACAAATTTAATTGTCAGTGACAAAATATAAAAGAAACACGCTCCTCCAATGCAATTGCAAGTAACAAAAAAAAATATATTAAAAGCTAAAAGTAGTGCAAACAACTGGTTGTTAACAATGTTCAATTTTACATTGTCCAATTCAATACACAGAATTATGTCACGAGAGTGACACATCTTTAATTGGATGTAACGTGCGAATGCGGTGTTTGTAAATATATAGGCTTCTCATAACCTTGTTAGAGTTATGTGTATCTTGTAAAGTTCCCCAACAAAAAAAAAAGCACAACTCGGAGCTGAGTGGTACGTAAGACATGCCGTAAAAAGAAAAAAAAACTGTAGTTCGCAACCGAAAAGAAAAGCGGCGTTTGCGAAACGACGTTGAAATATTTCGACATCGTGATAAATTCCACATACACAATTGAATTGGATAATGTGTTAATTTATTAAAATTGAACATTATTAACGAGCAACTGTTTGCTCCGCCCCTCCACAGATCTTTAATTTGTTTTTAATTACATCAAATATGAAACAATTCTGTCTGATAAAAATTGCTGTTGAATGCGAATAGAGTATAAATAAAACAAATAAAAAAAAACATTCAGTATATTATGTAAAATAAAATTTGTATTATACATAAAAATTTGCTTTAAGTAAATTAAATAGAATTGAATAGAGGGAGAAGTGCGCTCAGTTAATTATTATCTTTCATATTGAATGTTTCTCATTGCAGATTATAATTATCAATTTCCAGCTTGCCGCGTATGCAATTGCTCAGATTCCGAACTACAACTACCGCGTGAAGATCCTTAAGACTGCCCATCCTTACCCTTTCAAGTACCATGCGGAAGTAGTAGTCTATAAATCCCGAACGGAGGATGCCGGTAACTAAACGCATTCCATATCCTTCGCGGTAAGTAAATTTTACGGTTTACATAAATTATGTAATGTAAGCCGACAAAAAACACTATCTCTCTCTCTATCTACATATTTTTTGCGTTACACGGTTTTTTGTTCAGAGATTTCACGATTTGGATCCTTTTTTTTATACATACATATTTATGGAGAATGCGCTCCGTTTGTGGAGAAATCACAAACTGTAATGATTTATTATGCGAAACTTNAAAAAAAAAAAAAAAAAAAAAAAANAAGANTNTTAAATCNCAAAAAGTCNTAGAGCGTTAAGAGTGAAACAACAGATTTACTGTACAATATGTGCGACAAGGTGATGTATCTGAAACGCTTTGCTCGCCCAAAATTCGGCGGTCTCGGTAAAACATCTTTTTTTTATGCTATTTGTAAATGACAAGTAAAAGAGAGATTTGTTTACGCAAACCGTGCGGGATATCGTTGAATTAGAGTTTTGTGGTACAAATACATTAACGATATTAAATTACTTTGCCAAAACCGAGAACCGAATGTAAAAAAAACTTCGCTGTACAATCTTGCGTATCTTGTGATTTTTTTTCGTTGCTTCTGGGATGAAGAAATGTTTCCAGTTACAGACATCCTTCTGTTCAACAGTTTCCACGGAGTGTGTTGTGTTGTGAACATATTAATCCTCATTTTTAATACCTAATGAAAAAAACTCCCTTTTCCTTGGTGGAAGTTGCAATCAAGTAAAATTACCGAACATATGTTCAACGAACGAGCGTAATTTTACGGAATTTTTAATACACGTACATTTTGTATATACAAAATTGCATTTATCCTCCCATTTTACTCTGTTTATTTTTCTGACTAGGGCTGTTACGACTGCATTGTTTCTATCTCAAGAGAGATTTATATCCTTCTTTCTCTTTCTCGCGCGCAATATTAAAACAAAACAAAACATAATAACTCAGGCGCTTTCTTATTATACGGGTTTGATCACGAAAAGAAAGAAAAAATAAAAGGTTTGTTGTATCGTGTGTTTTTATATTAGATCGGATGGCGGTAGTAGTGAGAGCCCATTGCTCGTAGAGGAAGGAGAGACGGTCGGAGCACCTCACAGTCCTCGCAACATACACAGTCACACTCATTCACATGGCAATCCACATCGGTCCCACAGTTATCATCACGAGAAGCCCAAAGAATTAGTAAAATACGGCGAACTAGTTATACTTGGGTAAGAATATTTTCGACCGAAGAAAGAGAAAACGCGGAGTCATCGTAATGATTTTTGTTCTTTTTTTTTTTTTTTTTTTTTTTTTGACATAGTAAGAGAAAGTGTGTTAGAGAAAGATCATTTAACGAATGTTTTGAACAATCTCGGCAGGTACAATGGTTACCTTCCACCTGGCGACAGAGGACGAAGAAGAAGTAAATTTGTATTGTACAAAAGACCCGTGCCAAATGGGATTAAACGTAGCAAGCATTATATCGTTAAAACGCCTCATAGTTCGCAAGCCATTCTCAACACGAGGCAACATTCCATCTCGTACACACTCTCCAGAACACAGGCCATCATTGTCGAGTACACGGAGGATGACAAAACGGACATGTTTCAGGTACATCCGAAACGTCTTCGTTTCTCTAACTGGAACAATCAGTTTTTAATTAATTAATATGATTTTCGATACATAAATAAAAGTTTTGTTTCTTGAAGATAAATTACCTTTTCTTCTAGTCTGGTAATGTGATATGTGAATCTGAAACTTGATGTGTGTTCGTAGATCGGCCGTTCGTCCGAGTCACCTATCGATTTCGTAGTGATGGACACTTATGTGGGGAGCAGCGACAGCGGGCCCGCTAACGACGGACGTGCCAACGCCGCTCAGAGCACCATTAGCAGATTTGCCTGTCGGATTTTGGCAGACAGATCAGATCCTAGAATTGCTAGAATTTACGCTGCGGGTTTCGACAGTTCAAGAAATATTTTTCTAGGAGTGAGAGAATTTTAAAATCTATTTTCGCAAGAGGATCAATCCACTAACCAAACTTCTTCGTGAAAACGTTCGAGCATGAGAAAACAAATCTTTTTTTTGTTAAGGAAAAGGCAACCAAATGGCAAGAAAATCGCGAGATCGATGGACTCACAACAAATGGGGTGTTAATAATGCATCCGCGGGGGCAGTTCTGCGGCGGCGAGGCGCAATGCGGTTTCTGGCGAGAGGTCAGTGTGGGCGGAGGAGTCTTCTCGCTCAGAGAAAGTCGAAGCGCTCATCAAAAGGGCAATGTGGTGGAAGACGAGACCAACATTTTACAGGACGGTACTCTCATCGATCTTTGCGGAGCCACTTTGCTTTGGCGATCGGCTGAAGGTCTCGCTAAGTCTCCGGTAACTTGCTCATTACGTGTATATTTTTGTTTTTAACTTCCACGAGGTTATACACAGTTTTTGCAAGTGTGTGTGTATGTCCGTGGGCGATATTGGTTTTTTATATAAACTACATATTTTTTTTGTAGACAAACCAAGACCTAGAGGAATTGGTTGATGCTATAAATGCCGGTAGACCGCAGTGTCCCGTAGGTTTGAATACGTTGGTTATACCGCGAAAAGCAGCTTCGGACTCGACGCAGCAGCAGCCATACGTTTACCTGAAGTGCGGTCATGTACAAGGACACCACGATTGGGGTCAGGAAAAAGACAAAGTTACAAGGAAATGTCCTATGTGCTTAGTTACAGGAGCGGTAGTCAAACTCTCTATGGGAATAGAGCCTGCCTTTTATGTAGACTGCGGACCGCCCACTTACGCATTTAGTCCCTGTGGACATATGGCAACGGAAAAAACTGTTAAGTTAGTAACACAATCAATTTATACAATCTCGAATAACAATAATAATAATATTTTCATTTACTATTTCGTTTTTGTCTGTTTTGCAGATATTGGGAAAAAATAGCCATACCACATGGCACGACCGGTTACATTGCGATCTGTCCCTTTTGCGCAGTGCCCCTCGAAGGATCGCCAGGATATGTAAAACTAATTTTTCAAGATAATGTAGATTGAAAATATAAAATAATGGAAACATGTAGAAATTATAACTTCTTAAGAAATATAAGAATTATTAAATAACATGAAAAACATCTGCCATCTTTCTACTTCCCTTTATATATATCATTGATCAAAAATATGAAATTGTTTGATATTATCATTAATATTATTTAATATTCCAATTCAAAAACTTACACGAAAATGTGAATTTGTTTATATATATACACGTGTGTATATATAATATATATAGACATATTTTCCGCACAACATCCAGCGAACGGCTTTTCACGGCCAATTATATTCATTGATTTGTTTAATATTATACTTACAATTGCGCATAAAATAGAAATTATAAATTTTTAATTAAAAAATTAGAACTCATATTTCTAGGAATAATTGAACTATTCCATTTCTGCAAATATATTTGTGAAATCATTTGAACTACTTGATCTTAAGAAAAAAAATATTCGGAGAAAGCGTAGCAAAGAAGTTATAAAAGATAAAGACAGTAAATGTTTTTAATATTTTATTGCCAAATGTATGTGATAACCAGAAATGTTTATTCGTTTTCTTCTGATCGCAAGCGTGCACTAGCGTTCGTCACTCTTATGGAAAGTTGTTGAGCACGCTCAACAATGGCTTTTCTTTTCTTGCTGCTAACAGCATGTGCAATTTCTGCACAGAACTTGCGGTTTTGCATCATTAAGACTTCAAGTTCCTGTAAATAGTTTGTATATATAATATCACGAAAAAGTAAACATTTTTATTTATTAAGACAAAAATGTAGTTATATAAACACATTCTTATTTATTCGTATTACAAATTATAACAATGAAAATCGCATGTGCAAAATTACTTAATTGACTTGTATTTTATGTGGATCTTGATTTTTACTATTTCAATTCATTTAATTAAATTTAAAAATGATATACAAATATTCACCTTAACATTGTGTACAAGAACCTTACGGAAGCCAGTTGGTAGCATGTGCTTTGTCTTCTTGTTACTACCATAACCAATACTCGGCATCAAGTATTGACCCTTGAAACGCCTGCGAACTCTGTTGTCAATACCTTTGGGTTTACGCCAGTTACGCTATAAAAGTATAAATAAAATAATTTGTATCATGACAAGAACAGACGTTTGTGCTTATATCAACAATTTTTCGTAATTCCGTAACATAATAAAAATATAACCAAATCTCTACACATATGTGTCCTCCCTCGTATATTTGTTATCAATTATCAAAATAAAAACAATTGTACTCACTTTCAGTTTATTATATCTGTCACTTTGGTGTCTCACAAAGTGTTTCGTTCTTTTCTTCACTATTTTAGGTCGATAAACTGGTCGGATAGACATTTTGACTTCTACTTAGTTTGCTGAAATAAGAGAGACACAACTTCTGAGTCTGCTTTAATATAAAGATTACTTATATATTTTTTTCAAAAAAAATATTGCACTTTTATGCTGTAAAAAATAGTCAACAACTAGTCAGTATCCGTACAATAACTACTTTATAAATGATCGTTGTAAAAATTAAGGATTTATTGCACGTGATACGTACCGCAACTTATCCTATCAAAAACGCAAAAGATCAGAGGTTAGGTTTGCTGTTTCCACTAAAGAGGAAGTGAAATGCTCGGATAGATGGGGTTCAAGTCGCGCTACAAATGCTTCGAGGCGTCATTCTGTCTTTGGGCTGGTTTCACTGACTCCAATTAAAAGCGTCAATCGTGATTGGTCCATTATGATCAATTCTGCTAAACAAAAATTGCGATTCTAACGGAATAATTGATCAATTGAAAGCAAAGTTTCACTGAATCGACCAATTATTCGTCATATCAGTTGCATTTGATCGATCAATCGAATTGATCAATGGTTACAAGCAAATATATAATTGTCAGTGACAATTTTATCAAATTTTCACCACTTGTGTCAATTGTCGCTCGAAATATGATTGAGATAAGTACGAAAGATAAATTATGAAATCCCGTAAAAAAAATACACACGAAACAATTAATAAACACAGACATACATATGTATAGTATGACAACAATATTTTCAATAAAAACTGATTTTTGAGAATTTTTAATACCGAAGTTTGTGTGAAATAATCTGACAAATAAAGAGATCAAGACGATCAATTGCAAATTTATGCATCTACAATGTAAATGTAATTTGTGTAAAGTTGGGTCGTAACAATTGCAATCCTAGAATAACAATATTTTTTTTTTTTTTTTTACATATTGATTCTATATTAATATTATAATCTCAAATAGACGCGAATCTTCTTACGTAAATGCTAAACAAATGCTTCATAAGACGCGCGAGAGGCAACTATATTATTATTATTATTATTATTATTATAATATTCGGTATAATATAAAAAAATAATGTAATTATGTACAAATTACACGCATAACTCTCGCAACTCACGCGCGAGTTAGAGAATCGCTTAAAATTTCTCTCTCTTTCTCTCACTCTTCCTCTCTCTCTCTCTCTCTCTCTTTCTCTCTCTCTCTCTCTCTCTCTCGATTAAAATTATCAACAAATACCGCTCGATGGAAAAATGTTTGTGTGGGTGGTAGAAAATGTAATATAAAACAAGCAAATGCAATTTTTTATAACACATTTTCATTGTCTTATAAGTCTATGGTAATTAATAATTAATAACAAGAAAAAAACCTTTTTCATCAATATGTCTAACACAGTAATTATTAAAAGATACAATTAGCAAATTACTATGTTGTGTATTCACTTTGTGTAATAATAGATAATAATATATAATATTGTAATATTTTTTCTTCATAATCATAGCGCGATATCTCTCACGTGCTCAATCATTTTTTTTCTACAAATATAATATGGTATCTAATTCTTTATCTCATGTGTTATGTGTATGTATATACATATATGTGTATATATATATAAATGTGTATATATATATATATATATGGTATATAAATTATATACGTATATACACACATATATATTTATCCACTTGGATTATTATCAATCGTTTATTCTGTTTTTTTTCTTTACTGCTATTTATATGTCCGTATAACCAAATACTAAAAATACAGTTTTTCGCGTAGACAGCAGGTTTTCTTTTAAAGTCGTCAAACACCTCACCCTCCGATCCGGTGATCTTAAAACGCACATTCACATGTACATGTAATGTAATTATTTGCAGCTTTGCCTACAAAATTAAGGAGCTCGTCAAGCGGGCGATAATATATTTATATTATGTATAAACAGGCGCAAAGAGTGTTTCATTTGTAATCGGTCATTATTTAAATTGTAGAACTGCGCGGAGAACGGTAACACACATGTAGGCGTTTTTTTTACACCGTTTTACACGCGGAAACCACAACATCAATACCAAATATAACATTGAGCTTCTCCACACGTACACACTCCCACTTCTTTCTTTCTTTCTTTCAACTTTGTCGGACGAATCAACATGTTTTAGATGACATCGTACTCGGCATCTGATCTTTGGCGCATTATATTATCAACTGGTTTTTCTTATATTACACACATTAACACAGTACGCGATTACACGGCAGATACTTTAAAAGCTCCTTAATTTAGCGAGCGTGCTAAATGTATTTTCACTTACATGTGTATATGTATATATATACATACATATATATATATATATATATATATATATATATATATATATATNTTACATGTGTATATGTATATATATACATACATATATATATATATATATATATATATATATATATATATATATATATATATATATATATATGTATATGTATATATGTATATGTATATGTATATACATATATCAAAGTATATTTACACAAAGAGCTTACTTTTTGTTATGTATACGTGGATGTGGATGTGTGTTTATGTGTGTTTTAATCTATACAATCATATAAATGTAATATTCAATGATAAAATTTTAACATAATAAATGTCTAGTCTCTACATGTACCCTATCTGTCTAACGTGTGAAAGAGAATATTTTTTACATCGAAATTATATTTCAAATTACTCTCTCTTGTGTGGATTTCGCAATTAAATTACTATATATATATTACACTGGATCCTATTTTTGCGTCATAGGATGCGAATCAAATCAAAACACGTCGTGAGATACTCTCTCCCATAACTCCCCCCCCCCAATCCCATAGTTTTATGTACAGTCACTTTGTGATTTTCCGTCCAAGTAAAATAAACACATGCACGCACGCACATACGTGTGCATTATTATATACAGTACGCGCAACCAAGATATCTACATATACAGAAATAAATTCTGGTATATATATATGTGTGTGTGTGTGTGTGTATATATATATATGTATATATAAACAAGCAATATTCTAAATAATAATTTAAATTTATATTGAAAATAGGAAGAAATTTAACGAAGCTATATCCCAAAAAGCAGTCTCTTTTAATATGGCGGGATATAGGTTGGTTAGAAATTTTTCCTATTTCAAATATTAAATTTATTATATATATATATATACACACACATATAGTATGTGTATATATATATACATGTATATGTGTATATATATACATATATATGTATATATATATTACATGAGAAAAAGCATTTCTTGAACAAGTATTGCCTGGTAGCCATCTAGCTTTTGAAAAAAATATCAATTAGAGAATCTTTACGTGCACTATGTAATTGAGCACTGCACTTATACTTTGTACACTCTATAACAGTCAGTAGTGACATTTATATAACAACCATAGCGACATTAGCATTTCTTTCTTTATATAATAAACGTTACTTGGTCTGTAACAAGAAATTGGAGATTTGTACGAAACGCGTCTACATGTTTAAAAATAAATTACAATTGCATAATTAATCTGGTATGTAAGTTTTGATCCTCACAGCGCCTATATGTACATCGACGAAGGTACATTTTTCCTCTCTACAAACACTCTAAATAAAATATCGTGATCGTATTTGTCCCAAAAATATCAAAACTTTCCGGAAAGCTGTTTCACACAAAACATTTACAAACAAAGATAAAAACACATACAAAGATATTTTGTTTTACTTTTTTCACATAAAAGTAATGAAACAAACAACAGAGTGATAAATCATTGTTAATAATATCACTCATAATAATTCATAAATATTATTAACATGTAATGACTCTAAATTTTCCAGTTTGATTTGTTGTGTAAAAAGAAAGTTACACGTTACATCAGAACAATAAATTCGGACAAATACGTATTTGTGAGAAGAATATGGACAGTGTGTGTGTGTGTGTGTGTGTATGTGTGTGTGTGTTGCACGATGACTACAGCAGGCTCGGCTAGAAGAGAGAACTGTAAATATTCAACTGTATAAATTACATTTATATAATATAAAACTAGATTATATGTATATATATCTGTTTACAAAAACAATGATCGATAGAAATCACATAGATTTACAATTCTATATACGATTCTACACATACGTATGCACATATAATTAAATGTGGATGAAATTTATGTACGAAAAGTTAGTTACCTTAATTGCATTAACGCGCGAGAGAATAATTAATAATGACGATTACATGAGTGGTTTGTTTTTGCACGACTCTTTAATTAATTCTAATTTAATAAAAATTTTCTTCTGTTTCTATACATATATATGTATATATATATTTATATAATTTATATATACACAATGGGAGGTGCTTTATCTTCCATCTTTACAAGAAATTATTTACAAAATATATTCGTCTATATATTACCTATCAAATTAACATTACTTATTTTGCTTATGATTATTCTTATCATCTTCACGTGTATTTATTTATGTCTTCCAACGTTCACTGTGTGTTGTGTTCCCCTTCCTCCCATATCCCATAAATAAAATAAGAATCCTTCTCAAATCTTTCATACGCCGACTTCTTCAATACTATGATTCAAGACGAACCTCTTACTGAGAGACCATGTTTACTGGGTTTGAACAAAGTGATATAATCGCAACCGCAAACTTAAAGATTACGCAACTTACTGGTAAAACCATACACGTATCTCTTGAATGTTTGTCAACATGTCCGTACTGCACTTTTATATATATGAATCATTAAATTTATCATCGTCATCATGTAATTGTGTATACAACTCTGTACAAATACTAGTCAAATAGAAACATCTCGAAAAGTTTTTTTCAATTTCTCCAGTAAGTACGAAAGTGTTACTGCTTTGTGTCTCGGTGTGGAGCGCATGTGACAGAAACTAATTCGTGCGAAAAATCCATAACGAGAGATATCGTTTACTTTATATGCACGTGCACGTATTAATTACACATTTGTACAGACAACGAATCAACGACGGAACACAATAAATAAATTTATACACGTACAAAGTGAATATACATATCTAAACAGAGTCTATCAGCAAAGTCGTCAGAGAGTAGCGAAACTTCAAACTTTATACGATAAATTCACCTGCAAAAATTTTATAATTTTACGATAAATATATGTATGTTGTTTTTTTTTATTTACGGCAGTACAGTCGGATTCACGCTTTTAACTCCGTAAAATGTGGACTTTCTTTCACCTTTAATTATTTTGTACTGATACAATGAACGAAAGAAATTTTTTTTCTCATGAGAAGATGATTCTCGAAACATAAATAATTTAAGTTCAAATTTTCTTAAATCTCATTAAAGCTATCTTCATCTTGTTACATCTAATTAACGACCATAGAAAATTGCACATCAAAGAGAGAAATTTAGTTTACTTGAGAGCAGAATAAGACTGACTGGTAAAAGAAAGTTGCATATAATATGTCTCGGCAGTTTTGGGTTTTAATATATAGTCATAGTTGTATGTATATATATATATATATATAGTTTATATATATATATAGAGATATATATATTATATATAGTTCAGTTACTTAGATCATAATGTGATGCGTTGAGCAAAATCGAATCTCAGTAACTAAACTCTGTTGTTTACAGGAGTACAGGATAAATGAGAACGCTAGACGGTGAAAAGAAAATCGAAGTGAAGTTTTTGCGGTTGTCAGTTTTTTTTGTTTTTTTTTTTGTTTTTTTGTTTTTTTTTATACGCACTATACTTGAACATTTAAGAGCACAACAATTAGAATTCACTAAAGAGTACAAAACTTTTGTACTTTATAAAACTCTGCACCTAAACGTGACATCAATATCAAATTTCCTAAAAAAAGAAAATAAAAGAAAAAATACAAAGAAAGGAGAAAAAACAAAAAAAGAAAAAAATACAGAACATGAAGAATTAACAATTAAAAAAATTAACAATTGAAAAGTGTAATTATTCATGCGACTATCTTAATTCTAAAAATATTTTACAGCGAGAAATACTTTTGCACCGTCCAGCGTCAGTTTTTTTTGTTTTTTTTTGTTTTTTGTTTTTTTTTTTTGACACGATACTCCCACAATAAATGATATACAGCAACTTTGTGCGCTAGTGTGAAGCATACAGTTTCACCAAGTGGGATCCAGCCACACGACGATCAAATACCCGTTCAAATCAAATTTACAATCAGACAAATAGGCCTTGACGAGCGACGGTAGCTAATCACTGTCAAGGTCACTTCCCGAAGGTCATTTGTTTTCTCGGGATATTCGCCTCCTTTTCGCTTGTTCTGCCGTTTCTGCGGTTGCTAAAACAATTGTTTTTTGTTGTACACAAAGTGTTCTCTAAAGTGAAGTGAATATGTAAAACATTTTAAATACGAAACTTTTGTCATTCACAACGATAAGGAATTTAATATCATTTTTGACACGCAAGCAAAACATTTGGAAAAAAATAAAACTGAATTGAATTCAACAACTATATATAACAAAATAACTATATGTAACAAATTTAATAATTATAATGATAATAATAATACGTATATAATATGTGTAATAATAATACGTATATAATATATAATAATAATACGTACTAAAAATAGCCAACATGTAATAAATAAATATCGCCAGAGTATACAAGAGAATTATCCAGAGAGAGCAAATGTAAATAACCGTAAATTAATCGATTACGTACCAGCACCACTACGAGTTTTTCTTCTGTTAATGTCGTCCATAGATCTGGACGCACCTCTAGTATTGCTTGCTGGTGTAGCTAGTGGTGAAGCTGTATTCTGCCGTACAGATCTTCTCGTCATTATTTCGCCAACAGACTCGTTGCTGGACACAGAAGTGCCTCGTAATCTCTCTTTCCCGACAGTAACTGTTGCTGTCGTCACCGTTGTCACTATTGTTGTCGCCGTTCCTGTTGTTGTTGTTGTTGTTGTTGTTATTGTTGTTGGTGATGGTGATGGTGGTGTCGTCGTCGTCGTCGTCATGGTCGTTGTCGTCGTAGTCGTCGTTATCGTATTCGGCTGCTTGGTAGTTAACAAACGGCTCTCTCCTCTTTGCACTCTATTACTGGCATTGAAATTTGATATATTACTGGAAATAATTTGACTGCCAGAAACAGCTGTGCCTAATAATGTTTGCATTAAAATTGACAAAATCTTATCTTACGTAGTGAAACAATTCTTACAAATCTCTGAGATTCTTTTATCTGCCGGGCATCATTTAAAAAAATTGCATCTTGAGTTGCTTACTTTTGATCTTTAGGCTTTGGGGAAGCAGCGGATGTTTCATCTGACAATCGTACTCTTGCTTTCCCTACAGACTCAATCAACGGTTCGTCATCAGACGAATCTACTTCTACCACAATGGGACCTAAAATAATAAAAACGCTCATGTCACATATAAATCTAATTCACATTATAATCGACGTCAAATATATAGAACATGAGATAAATAGGAAAAGTTAAAAACTAGAAAATGAGATGTTGAGAGATAGTTGTACATTGAATATGTATAAAAGCACTTCTTTATTTTATCTTAATTTCAATCACTATATTTGTTATAACAGTAAGTTTAGAAATGTTTGTAATAATACTGTTTGTAATAATAATTAATGTTTAATAACAATATATTTTAATATCAAAGTTTTAGTGTGTATTTTAAAATAATATGTGTGCATATAAACAGTCCTGTTTTTGGCAGTCCTTCTAATTTGCTACATTACAGTCTATAAAATATACAGTGTCCACCTACCGCATTAATTGACAAGTGTGAAATTCCTTCGTGAATTCAGGGTCTTTTTTCAACAAAAATTAAAAAAAAAAAAAAAATTTTTTTAAACTCACTCTTTCTCTCTCTCCCTTTTTCTCCCACTCACTCACGTCTTATGTGTTTTACATTATAGTGCATTAACGTCTTCTGGAGGATAAGTCATTAATAGCACAGCACTTAAAGAAAACTCACTCTATCTGTGTTTAACATTTGTAATATTTAGAAATCTCAAAAATACGAAAATGCCCATAAAATTTTAGCTGGTATGAGGAAAATTGTTTCATGCAATTCCAAGTTTAAAAAATACTAAATGTCAATACACATTTGATGTGCTAATTTAGCTAAATAGCCTATTATATACTTGATTTAAAACAACAACAAAAAAAAGAGATATTTAGATAAAATATGTAGGGAAAAAATCTGAACTACTATAGAAAAAATATTAGCATGAAATAAACACCTTTCTTAGCCTTTGCCAAAATGTTGAACCCCTTCTTTGATTGTTCTTCCTTGCCAGGTACTTGTTTCTTTAGAGAACCAGCCTCTTCTACACCCATGCAAGCTTTAATAAGTTCTGCAGCATTCTCTGAGCATTTCCGTTTACCTGGTCTCGGTTGTGGATCGTCAGCTGTACTCGACGCGACAGAACTCTCGCTCTCTTGCCTTTTCCGCTTTCCTATTTTTATTGTCGCGTTAGGTGACAATTTTGACACTGTCAGTTTCGGACTCGCTTTTGCGTAAGGCGATATGCTACGGCGCTCCTCTAGCTTGTTAGGACCGTGAGGGCTGCTTTTCGGAGTTTTTGCGATATCCGGGCTATTCAATTTCTGCGATCTCGTTCTCAGCGATCGTTTCTCATTGTTATCGTTTGGGATATCTATCAAAAGCTGCTCGAGCAACGATTTGTGCGGTTTTTTTATGTAGTCTTCCGAACTGTTCGAGTTTAGCCTATCCACATAATGTCCCTCATCGTTATCCTCTATACATATGACGTCCTGCCGACCTTCGAGCTCCTGCTTTCTTCTGCGTTTGCGTTTGAGATGTTCCACGTCACTCGAGTCCACTTCGGGATTTTGCGCCGCCGGGCTCGGTGTCTCGTCCCGTTGCAAAACCACAGGATTGGAATATGTGTACAAGGGTGGTGTAATCCTGATAGGTTGCGGATCCTCGCCGAGAGGTGATTGAATTCCCACGCTCAGATCGCTCGAATCGTTAACCATCTTTTTAACTAAATCGTCCGTTACCTTTTGGAGATTGACAGAAGGGTCTCTGAGTGCAATCTGCTGTTGATTTTGTACATTACACTTCTGATTTTGTTCGGTACATGTTTCCAACTTGATGGAAGCTGTACTCAGCGTAACGTTACCATTTTTTGAAACTTCAAGCCGATCAGTCTGCCTGGTATCGTCCACCTTTACATTAATTTTAGATTCTACTTTGATTTCTGAGTTGCAACTCTCGCCGTTCGAGCAAGAATTATCCACTGCCACGCCACTATTGTTTGCGAGCACATTATCGAGCTTTACTGTTTCGAGTTTATTATAAACATGATTTTGTATTATAGGCACACCATTATTATTATTATTATTATTATTATTATTATTATTATTATTATTATTGTTGTTGTTGTTGTTGTTGTTACTCTGTCCGTGAGGTTCATCACTTAATCTAATTGCACGGTTAATTTCTGTAACAGTTTTCGTGCTGTCCTCGGATACGTCTTCCGCAGGTCTTGGCTCCTCAACACGCTTAGAGTTTGTCTTACCCTGATCAATTTGGTTAACAGTACTCTCTAATTTAACGCTAGAACTGTCTTTGTCAGAAAAATCTTTTGCCTGCTGATGCGCGCACTGCAATAAGTTATTATCACTATTTATACTGCTAGTTACAGACGTCGTTACGACAGTCACTGTTCCTGTCACTAATGGATTGGGCACACTCTTATCATTACTCACAGTATCTAAACTAGCAACTAAATCACCACCATGTCCGCCACCAGTTCTTAGAACTGTCGATGATGATTTCTCACTAGGAACACCCTTTGCGTCGTGCTCACTGGTGTTTGATATATTGCGATTTAGCTGGTTCTCGAGATAACTCGCTACAGACACAGGACTTAATCTTTGTGGACCACTGGACTTGACAAGTTCCGAATGGGAATTTGAACACATATCACTACTACTAGTTGAGGAAGGCACGTTCTTATTGGTGGTTGATAGAGAAGGAGATTCCTCCTGTATTACGTTCTTAGCGTTGCTCTGGGTCACTGTTTCGGTGGCCGACGCCGGCCTGTGCAAAGGGGATTCTCCTTGATTCGGTGATTTCTCCGAAAGAGCATCCATCGACTCGATACCCGAGTCTTCGCCACCTCCGTTGCTGCCAACTCTTTCGATATTCGCATCAACGACAGTTCCAAGTCCAATTGGAACAGTTGTACTTTCGAGCAGCTTCTGCTTGACTTTTGCCTCGGTTACGTTTATCTCGCCGACGGGCAAGATCGGCTTGTTCGCAGACACGTCAATGTTCTGCGATCTCGAAACCAGATCCACCGAGTTACTGATCACTGCGCTTGGTACGGTTTTCAACAGACTGATCTTCTGTGACGTGTTGTCAATTTTGCTCTCCACTGTCGATCTATCGACCTGCTTCACAACGTGATTTTGAACTATCTTCTTGTGACTAAAACTCAACTGTTCAATTACTGCTTTGCTGTGCCTGTTTATAACAGAATTCGCTTCGCTCTTGGCAACCACATGATTTTTCAGTTTTTGACTGATAGTTTGAGGAGATTTAACGGTGGCAATATAATTCTCCATATCGGATTTGCTCTTAACGGAAAGTACCCTGGACATAGGTGACTGAGAATTCTTTATTCCAGTTTCCATGTGCACAGGTAATTTATTTTCGGGATTAGATAAGTTTCTAGCGTCGCTCTGCTGCGCCGATGAGTTTGTCAATTTAAGTTCAGTATCGCTCTCAAAAGTTAGACCAATAGGTGTTTTTAGATTCGCTATTGCTATTGTGTTTGCAGGAGTCTCGGCCGTTTTCTGACTGTTAAAGTGTGTAGTTTCTGTATTTGGAGATTCTGCAATAATTAAAAATTAATTATTTAACATACCTGCACAAATAAATATACACACACTTATTACACATTAAAATAATATATATCAAATATAAAACTTGATATCTACCTCCTAAATGCAGATCTTTTACGTCTATCAAGCTCAATCGTCTTCTCTTGTCTTGGCTTAACAAGTCCTTCTTTACTCCATTAAGCTCCGTTAATCTGGGAGCGATACTGCACAGCGAATTGTTCTTCTCAATGGCTGACTTAGTGATATCGCTATCGCTTGTTCTTCGAATCTCGCCAACCTTCTTAATTGCCCCGAAATCGTTCCCAGTTAAAAGTGACTCTGACTTTCTTATCGGTTGGGTTAATTCGCACTTATAACCAAGCTTTCTCCATTTCGCTTGATTATCCACTATTCGACCCCCCGACAGAAGAGTCTGTTCCCGATGCACACTGTCTCCAGATTCCAATTTCTTTTTAGAATCTCTTCTTTTTGTTTTACCTGCAATAAAATCATGATGTGTCACGTGAATAATATCTTACACAATTATATACGTTCAGATAATGAGAGCTAAGAATATAAATGTTGATGCACAGTGAATTCAATTAGCACAAGAGCAACCTAATACCGAATTAAACGGATTTTCTTACCTCCTCCTATTTTATGTTCCTGCATGTGATTTTGCGCGTCGTGATCCACTTGACTCTTCGTTAATGACGGTTGTGAAGTGTTCAAATTCGTAATCGCAGCCGCTTTATGTTTCGAAGGAGACGGTATCCTACTGTTCAACGGTATGTCGTCTATGTCGCTATTTTTGCTCGAACTTGGCTTGATAACGGCGCTAGTCTGCAATCGCACAGCATCCATCGGTAATTCCTGTTTTAAGGCATTAGGCTTTGCTACAGATGTCTGTAGCATATTACCCACTTTGCACACGGCATTAGCACTATTTATTACGGAGTTAGACAAAGGTAATTTCGATGCAGATGCGGCACCTATAACGTTCAATTTCTTCTGCAGCAGCTTGTTCCCAATACATTCTTTCATCTTCTTGAATTTGTTTCTCCTCTTTATCGGGTCACTCTCATCTTCCTTCAATGACTTCTTCTCTTTCTTTCTTTGTACTACTGAGGCGTTACGTCCTCTTAAAGAAATATGTAACGGAGGCACTCGTAGCGGTTCGTCACCGGTTCCCGTACTCGGGACACCAGCTGTAAAAATTTTATTTGCAGATTTATCGGCTTTTCGCATGGGCGGCGGCGTATTCACGCAAGAAACGTCGGTAACTAGCTTGTAAGCTGGTGTAACGGGATCCGATTTGTCCAGTTTCATCCGTACTTTAATTTTCTCCGCTGGCATTGGACTGTGCGCGGTTTCTCTGGAATTGGATTTTATTCTGCTGTGCTTCAAACTTCCCTCACTGGCCGTGGACTTCGCCGTTGTCTCGGAATCCGATTGATCCGTCGTCGTCGTTTCGTTTCTCTTCGAAATATTGCTGTCCGCGTCATCCATGTCGGAGAACACCGAGTTCGATCTGTCATTCGAGGGGGACGGAAAGGGGAAATAATCGTCCTGATTATCTACCGCGCTCTCCGGCTCCGAGTCTGAACTCTCACTGGATCTCTGTTCCAAGTGTCCGGTCAAAGGATTGATCAAAAGCTGTCGTCTCTTTCCAGTTGAGTTGTATTCTTCCAACTCCGAAAACTCCTCGTTCTCCGGCTTCTTCGGAGACTCGGAGGGGATAGTATCCGTCTTGTTAACAGACGGAGCAATGCTAGCGGTAGAATTATTTATACGAGACGCACATTGAGGAAAGGCACCTGAAACCTGATTCGGAAGTGACAGACGTGTGGTGGTATTGATTTGAGCACCTTGTGGAAAAGAGTTGCTTTGTGCGTTCCACATGGTCCCATTAGCATTGCTGGTCGCGGGGGAGAAATTTCTACTGAGAATATTCTGACTTTGTCCATAGCGAAAATCAGTAGTCGCACCAGTATTGATATTCATGTTCTTCACTTGATTGTGATGCAATTGCTGTTGCACATTGAGAGCTTGATGCTGTTGATTTAAGTGTTGCGCTGTTTGCTGCAAAACTGCTGGTTGTCGCGGATAAGGCGGCGGAGTCGATCCTCGCTGACTATTTAAGTAATCTAGCCGTTGTTGTTGTTGTTGCGAATTGTTTATGCAACCTACCGTTGTCGAGTATTGCAATAACGATGGCATCGGTTGCTGTAGTAGCGACTGGTTGCCAATAGCCGTAGTTTGCAATGGTGTGTTTTGTTGTTGGATTACGGCTTGTTGTGAAACTTGCGGAATAATTTGTTGATTTATTTGCTGCTGCTGTTGTTGTTGCTGCTGCTGCTGTGTAAGATGTTGCTGTTGCTGTTGTTGAAGTAGCAACTGCCGTTGCAAAGGTGTTCTGATTTGTTGTCCGTTCATGGGATGCCTGACAGCATGTTGATTCTGGACCTGAATCTGCGAAGGTCTATAAGCCAATTCTTGTCTAATGGGAAACTTTTGCTGCGTTTGTACTTGATTATGTAAAGCCGGTGCTTGTTGTTGTATCTGGCCAGCACCGGCCGGCACCTTATGCATCGTTTGAGGTGGCATCATGTTCTGTCCAGCATTATTGCCGATCACATTGGCCGTATGCTGCTGGGGTGGAAGTGTCGACGGTTGATTGGTGTTGACAGTGGCGAACGCTGACGGCGTAGAAACTTGAGATAAAGCTGGTATAACTGTCGCCGTTGTCGTTCCGCCGGTCAACTCTTCGCTTTTCAACGTATCCACCACGTTTGGTGGGGATTCGCTGGGCGACGGAAGATCTTTCCTTCTAACCGTGGGTTTCTTCGTAGGTCTCATACGATTGCTAAGTCCGGCGTTGTCGATAACAGCTGGCGGTAACATTTTCTGATCGGGTATGATGTTATTTGCGTGCGAACTAGCGTCGTTCTGCAAAAGATTCACGAGTAGCGGACTGGACAGAGCAACCTGATTTCCGCTCCCGTTCGAACTTCCTGCCAGATTGCTATTGTTGTTTGGTGACAGACTAGATGTCGTAGCGATCGCCGCGGGTTTATACTGATTCGCCAATTGTCCAATAGTAACGACCGGTTGAGCATGACCACTAGTCGTATGACCAGTCGTATATGCTGTGGCCAGATTTTCCTGAGACGGATACGGCGGTGGTGGTTGTGTGTGATGCTTAAACTGCATTGTGTTCTTAATTGTTGTCCCCTGCGATTCGCGATTGTGTATTGCTTGAGCAGCATGCGTCATACTAGCAAATGGGAAAGGACCATTGTAGTTGTTTCTGGGCGACGCGTTCGAATTAACTGCTTGCTGGCTTCCAGAAACGCCAGCATTGCTCGTCGATGTGGACTGCACTGATTTCGCAAGAAACGATGGAATAGGATCACAATCTGTGGGCGCGACTACATTCGGAGAACGAAACTGTGGAGATTTTTCTGACGTTGTTCCTGAAACAGACACATTTACATGTGTGATTTATCCATCAACTTCATTAATTCTGCAAGGTTTTTTTTATTTTACAGCTTGTAACCTTACCAGCAGCTATTATCTGAGTTACATTCCGCAGTGCTGACGAAATGCTGGTGGTATTACTGGGACCAGGCAGAGCTGTTGAAGAACTGGGATCAACAGTAGCTGTATTATTGGTATCGTCTTGCGCCTTTGTTCCGCCATCTTGTGTAGTTCCAGAATGAAGCACGATTTCTTGCGCGTCTCCACCGAAACGACTGGCTATCCTCAAAGATATTACCTAAATGAAAAAAGTATATAGTAATATAGACAATGTGTAACCCGCGTATGCGTAATCTATGTTTCACAAGAATTTACACATGTAAAAATAGTATTACAATAATGTATGATACAAATCAAAATATTAATAGCATAGATTACCTGATCTCCTTCGACCTGTACTGAGAGTATGCCAAGTTGCGTAAGTGTTGGAGAACCCTGAGCCGCTAACTCGCGAAGCCGCAGAGCAGCTTCTCTGGGTATTGAAAATGTTACTCTTACAGAATTCCATGGTTCCACTTTGTTTACTCTCAGACCATCTCTCTTATCTGTAAATTACACAAACACGTTAATATCTTAATAATGTAATTAAAACGTGTTATTAAAACTGTAGAACTATTAAAAAAAAATACTTTTTGAACTTGTTAGAAATTATTATCAATAGATATTTAACATACAATGAATTTACTATTAATACAGCTTTTTACATTCAGTTGACTTACCTTTGCAAAGCAAAGTATTGAGATGATCAACAATGACTTGAAATTTCTGAGGAAACTCTGGATCTCCAAGGTCACCCTCACACGTTACTACCGTCTCAATCAGATCACCATCACTATCTGCCGCCATGACTACAAAATATTTATTACTTTACAATGAAACAATTTTACAATTAAGTAAGAATAAATGATAGAATAAAGTATACATGTAATATCGTGCTTATAAAATAAATTTATAAAACTTGCATAAAAAGCATAAAGAACAATACTAATATAAAAAAAAATAATATAAATATAAATATTATTTATCTTATTTTTTTTAAACAAACCATTTCTTTCAATAAATTTCTTTAAAAAAGTTTTTGCTGCAAAAATTCTTGTGCGTTTCTAGGTTGCAGCTGCATCTATTGCTGTTATTTTCATACCAACCTTTTGCAGACATTTCAGTTCTGATACTATTAGGCTGCTCTTAAGCTTGACAAAATGAAATAAAACTAGGTTCGCGAAATGTCGATATAAAAAGTGATACAAATGTAGTTCCAACCAGGAATCCATGCACAAGAATAGTTTTTTTGACTTTTGCTAATAAAAATTATAAATTATTGGTTAATTATTAGATCTTTTTAGAAATTTAGGCACTTTGTGTGATTTGTAATAGAATAACAGTCAATTTGTTTTATAGTGTTCATTATTAACTGTGGTTTTGAGTAAAACAAAAATATTTTAGCATTATATGTGTATATATATATGTATATATATGTATATATGTATGTGCATTTGTATGTGTAGAAAGAAAATTTTATATAAATCTTACATGTAATATAAAATACATACCAACTACAAATCACATAACTACCCAGAGAGGTTAAACACGCCTCAGGGTATTGCTCCAATATATGTGTGATACTGAGATGTCGTGTGCCAGTTTTACACCGACAGCCCCAAATCACACCAGAACTATTAATCCAGTTTGCTGTTAAACAAAATAGAAATTTATTTTATTACATATAGAGATATGTAAAATAAATGTTTATATATTCCATATATATATATATATATGTATATACTGTTAGACAACATATTATATATTTAATACACAGATATACAATATTTAAAATACTTCAATAAACAGTATGGTAATGAAATAAAAGTATACATACAATAAAAAAGTTTAAAAAAATATAAGAAAAACAAAAAAATTAAATTATTTCTCACAAAAAGTGTTTCAAAAATCTATTCCTTAATTATATTATCTGCATACATATGTATATACACACATATGTGTATAAAATATGTAAATGAAAGTATAAGCAACATTACACACACATATTTACAATATCATATAATTGTAAAAATATTAAATTTCAATTTAATTATTTATAAATGTGTGCTTTACATATACATAGAAATAAATACATAATACATAAATTTAAAAAATGCACAATAAATTAAATGCGGTACAATTTTCTAATTTTTTCTAATTTGCAATTGTAAAAAATTGTGATGTATGAGAGAGAAAAATACCAGAGAAACAAGAAAACTTTCAAATAATTCTTACACAGCGTGAATCTGAAATTTTTTTAAATACAAATAATGCTAATTCACAAATAAAATAAAATAAAAAACTATTACGGTTTTTTCTGAATATAACGTGCACCATACATAATTTGGCTTGTTAAAATTTCATCAAGTACAAAGTGCAAAGAAACCTCTGGAGAGGAAAAACTTAGGACAGATATGTATAATTCCGGAGAATTCTTCGCCATTGAGAAAAAATAAAATGCTATTAATTGCAAAAAAATAAACGTTATCTGCTATACATTCGACAAGACTTGATGATACAGGAAAACGGTGGAGCAAAAGTAACAAAAAAAAAACACAAGCATAAACAAAAAGTGAGGCCCACTAGATGTTACTAGGTTATAATTTGTGCGCGATTTCCGAGGTAGTTGAACGATTTCCGAAGAGGATTCGGGGCATCGGCGGACCCTCTTTGTCGATATTTCGCCGTACGCGTCCGCGAAACGTTCCCCGCACGTCGCATTACCGTGCGCGAAGGGCAATTAAAATCCCCTGGTGCACAAGCGGCCGCGCCAGGGGCACCGTGCGGCGCTCTAATGTTAGGAAATAGGTTATAGAGCGCATTTTTTTTAGCTAGGCGCGAACGACAAACGTGCACGGCGACGAGAAACGACAATTTCGTGGCGTGGGAAGCGCGTGCTGGCGGGCGCCGTAATGATTTTCAGCGAAATAAGGCATCCAGACCATCGGATATCGGGGGGCCACCATTTTGTCCGTCGGGGGAGGTGTACGTGAAGTGGGCTCAAGCATGCTCAAGATAGCCCGTCAAAAGTCGGAATTATTTTTATTCGGCCCGTCTCCGCCGTGGGTTTGTTACGCACCGCGCGTAAACGCTTACGCGAAATTCGTAGACGCGGCCCCACGGCGTCGAACGACACGACTCGGGCCAACGGGTCTCACTTCAGTCGTCGCGCAGCGCCGATTTGATACCGTATGAACACAGGAAAATTTCAACGTTACCCCATTTCTTTCCGACACTGTGCGGGATTTCACGCGTCCGTACAGCACGGAGACACACCGCCCGGGCACTGGTCTTAACCTAAAACACACCCCGCGGATCTTACTTCACTCTTAGCACACAGTGCGCGGCAGGAATCGCGAAAAAACTCGACATAATCGCTAATATAAAGAGACAAGTCATAAAACGCCATGAACAATAACAAGGTGCCGCCATTTGCAATGCGAGCAACTGACATGCGCAAATCAATCGCGCGGGGCATTATGGGTATATTTTGCGGGCCGCCATCTTTTCGATCGCCTTTTATAATACGTACATGTTCCCTAACCTCGCGCAGGGCACGGCATCTTCCTTGGCGAATCGAATCGACTCGAATATTGTGTGTCTCCATTGTTTGTCGCTCGTTGTCGGGTTTTGTTTCCCGCTCGGCGCGTACGTGCGTTTCTTCGCGCAGATGCGCAAGTACTTGATTTACCTTCGGTTTTTTTTTCCATTTTGCCATTAATGTAAATTTCTTTTTTGACGTACAATCATCGCGTGTATCAAAAAATGTTATACGGCATTCTCCGCGAATATGCAACACATCAGAAAAAAAAAATTTTTTTAATTACATCTCGAAATCTACGACCATGTGCATACAAACCTTTTTGACATTAAATATGACAGTATAACAAAATTCTGATTAAAAATCAATATATATACAAAATATTGAATACATAGTATAATTGCTCAGATTAGTTTTATTTAACAAATTCCAAAGATAAAATCATGAAATTTAACGGATCAACAGACTTCAAACTTCTCATCTTTTTTGATAGACAAATAAACATATAGTTGAAGACACAATTTAATGTGCATATTTTTCTGCATTTATTTACTTTATTACTTTCGAAATTTGATAACATTCTGAAGGAGACGATAAACTATGTTTGCTATCCTTATATTCATTTTCATGGGTAGTCTATTGTATCTAAATTCAAATACTTTTATTTTCCAGGAACATACGATTGCATAAGACCAGATTCGTTCATCACTTTCAATCTTGCCTCTGGATCATAATTTCTGCAAAACAATACATTCAAAAGCAGCTTGAGGATCAGATATAAACAAGAGAATGTAATAATGTATAAAATAATGAAATAGAATACAAATTTTTATATAAAAGCATAAAATGTTTTTAATTCTTCTACACATACTTGTAAAAATCGGCATATCTCTGTTTTCTTTTATCACAAACAAATATCTTGTATAGGATTGTAACACCAGTGCTAATTAGCAATATTCCTATAACATTTGTCTTGATCTGCGAAGCAAGAAGACCACGAAGTTGTGGTTTTGCCAGCTGAGTTGACATCTGAAATTAGTAAAACCTATCATGAGAAGTGTGTTCCTTACATTTAATTATCAAAATTTTAGTTTCTACAATGGATGATCATTTTGTTTTTTCAGAAATAGATCAATTTCTAAAAAGGATTGATTTGAGAAACATTGAAGATTTTGTCGTTAATTGTCAAACATGAGCTTTACTTGGTCACCAGTTTACGTATAAGTTTGTCTATGACAGAAAGATATTCTCTTGGGATTTTGAAAATATTTTTCTAGTTTTTTTACAACTCTTTCTCAATAAAGTTATATATATATATATATATATATCATAGACGTGTTGTCACAACAGAAAATGTATACATTTCGCGCGTTCAAATAACGCAATGTCTTTACAATACACCGTAAAAGATTATTATTATATAACTTTCAACGCTGTTTTACATGTATTTATTCATTCTAGCAGATCTGTTACACGCGAGTTTCCGAAGACAAACTTTGTCGAAGGAATGTGTCTTGCCTTGAGGATGACGTCGCGTTTGCGTTCTTACGAAGATCAGACGACTCCGCAGTCTTTTTATCTGTGTGAATTTCTACCGTGATACTGACTGATCGGGGCAAGGATTACAAACTTCCCGTTGCTTTTCTCTTTCTCGAGAAACGGACGACACATGCGCCACAGAGCGGTGTTGTTATCTCGTCGGCCCTTCAGTCCCTATCGAACTACATATTAAGGTCGTTCTACATCAGTCGTAAGGAGAAAACGCAAGTAACAGGTCTTGTACAATTGACCAATCGCGTTGGTCAAAATAGTCGATTGATCGATGTGATTGATCAATTCCGCGAATCCTATTATGTGCGTTTACATCTGCGACCAATGAGAACGAGTTTTAGGATCGAGCCTGTGTCTCAACCAATCACGAACGAGGTGCGCTAAACTTGACATTGCTCGCTTTGTCACGATTGGGGCAAAGGGGCGAGGCTTCAATGTGATATCAAATCCAATCTAAGGGTGCGGTCAACGTCTCACTGCAAATGTTTCCAAGTATCATTCTATCTTTATTCTACATTTAACGAGAAATAAAGATAGAATGATGCTTCAAAACATTTGCAGTGAAGCTTTGACTGCACAATAAGTAATTCAATACGGGACTTTAATAATGTTGGGCGTGTATTTTAGATTTGCCTACGGTTAGTCATTGGTCTCATCGTTATTGTTCACACATTTTTCAATTAACATTCGAATGCAATTGATCGTATTTATTTCTCAATGTATACGTGAAAAAATATACAAAACAGTATGAGACGCTCGTCGTGCGTAGGTCTTGTTGTAACGTGCTTTTTATTACACGCGTGGTGTGTACATGGTAAGTTTGTACTGATATTTATAGAAGAAAAAACGGAATATCAAATACTACATGTGTGTAAATTGTGTGAAAACTTGCGACACTTTTTCTCTTAAACTCCAAGTTTCAATAATTGTTACAGTTTGATTTGGATTTATATAAAAATATGAAATTTTGTATTTGTAATACTGATAAAACTATCTTTCAATTACTATCCACACAGCTCAGAATGCTTCAAAATGCGACATCCCAGTTACGATCAGAGGATCATGGTTTTCATGGGAAAATGGCAAAAACACTCGAACAGTAATAGATGCTGACAGTATGAGTAGTCGGGGTACATGTGTGAACATGGCAGCTGAAAATTATTTTACTTATACATTTGTGTTTCGTGATGCCAATACTCCAGCCAATTATGACAGCTGCTATCATTGTGTGAAATTTATTGTTAGAACAGTGAATGTCTTGGACAAACTTGAAGGTAAAAACTGAAATTGAGCTGCTTTGAAACAAAGTGTCAAATAATCAACAGTAATACACAATACAGAGAGGTATATAAAAATATGTTAAATCATTGTTTTGTTTACAGTAACTTGTGTAAACTTGCCACATAACACAGAGCCAACAGTGAATGCTGTCTGCAAAGGTTTAGATGCAAACCAGCAATATATAACATTATTCTCAGAAAATTATGTACCTGTAAATTGCAGGTCTTCTCTTGAAGGAGTTTGGCATTTTACTTATCAAGTAAAGAATATATATCCTATCTGTGACGTTATTTTATTGTGTTTATATGCAATTTTATTTTATTATTTATACAATATTATTTTTTAGAATCGCTTTAGATTTACTGGAGAATGTGATAATCCAGATGCACAAATAAAATCTTGTCAGACTGCGGGAACACAGTTTCTGATAAGTAATCAAAAATTCAACATTACATACAAAAAGTGTGCTGGGATGGAAGAACACACTTTTGATGGAGGTAAAATAATTTTTTTTTTATTAAAAAGCTTTTTTTGAATTGTTAATGTAGCATAAACGAAACGAAGCTATTGTCTTATTTTAGTGGTAGAATATAGTTGCTTGGGCGATTGGTTTGTCGGTAAAAATCACTTCTTTGCTGTGGCAAATACAAAAGAATCTCGACAGGACGAAAAGTACCGGTGTTTCTTGAGAAATCGTGATGATGATTTATTCATTGGAGTGTCGATTACCGCTGAATGTAATACTCTTCAAACTGTTGAAAAGAGCCCCGAACGTCTGCGTATTACTCCTGTTAAATCCGAAGTGATCGAACCGAGTTGCCGTCTACCCGAAGACATGTCTGGAGACTGGATCAACACCGCTAATATAGACGCGGATGTCTTCATTAACGAGACGCACATTATAGAAACTTGGTATCCAGATCAGGGACGTTACCGACATACAATTTATGTTTGCCGCGAGCAAAGAGATTCAAGAGTGATGATGGCAAGATTGACTGTTGATGGATGGTATGTTTATCAAACTTTTTTTTTCAAAAAAGATCTCTGTATTTTTGTAAAATAATTGTTGACTAAAGTTGGTTTAGACAAAAATGAAAGTATTACATACGCCATCAAATGAAGACGTATAAATTGAAATGTAAATCGATGTATTGATTAAGACGTATTTGCAGTCAAAAAGACTACGTTTGCTTTGACTTTGTACGTCGCCATCACAATATTATCAGATATCGACGTGGCATAGCTGTGATCAAAGACGATTTTCACACAGTTTGTTCTTGGGTCCAGTTTCCTAATAAGGAAGCGTGGAGATATGATCTGTTTTTAGGTAATTTACACGCACAAAAACTATTGAGTCTACTACGTTGATTCTGCATATTTGTCAGCATGACTTTTTAACTTTACAGCGAAAAATCCCGTACCGGTGCGCTGTCCCGTAGCAGGCAAATACATGTTCCATCAAAAAGGAGAGGTCCTTTTCGAAACTAGAATTTTGGGCGGTGTGACTAAATCTCCAAGACCCAACATCTACTGTAAACAAAACATTTCCGATTTTTCGGTTTGCGGTACCGATCAGAAGGAGATTGCCATTGATGAAACATATTGTCTATCTGTAGATTACCTGGGAAAACCGGTTGACATTTACAGTAAATTTTATTAAGTATTTTCTATGTCCAGTCAGCTAACATAAGGTCTGTTTATTTACGCATTGCTCTTTCTTTTTAGGCGATCCTGACTATATTATGAAGTGCATCGGTTTCTGGAAGGAAAATTTGAAGTCGTATCTAATAACGTATGACGAATTAGATCCTTACAGCAAATATCGCTGTTGGGTGTATCAACGAGCCGACTTAAACAGAGTGCTGATGTCCCAGTCTGCTGGTGCGTTTTGTGATCTCAGACAAGATGTGACCAGCTCCAATTCTTCAGAAGGTGCCGTGGTCGCGCTAGAATTAGAGGTATAAATAGAAACTTTACGTCAAATTTTTTTTAATACATGAAACATTAATGTGATTTAGAATTAACCAAACTACAGTTATATTATCAATTATATGTAATTATAATAGGAATATGAGCGCGAACGCGATCAGTGTCCCATGTATTTTGACGACGGATCCAATCCTTGGGTTCAGACGGAGAATTTTGTCAACGTCTTCCACTTCGGGAACAGCGGTAATATAAGGACCTGTTTTTCATTGCCTTTCGTCATAATTCTAGCAATAGCACGTTATTTTTAACATATTAAGTCAGTTTTGCACGAAAGTTAAATACAATTTTACTACTTTTTATACTAGAATAATGCGCGATAAGTATTTAAGATCAAGACTATCGCATATGCATACAAAATGTGTGTATATTTTTTAAACACTTATTACACCATTATGTTATATAGATTCCGTCCATTTTTCACTACTTTCTTCCGTCCATTTGTACATTTACATGAATAAGGAAGTCATGAACATTGTGGTCTTTATAGAAAATGTTATATAATTATAGAATATCGCACGTACACATAGTATAAACTAAAGATGTGTTACACAAATATTATGTCTGATACATGACTATTAGTGTATTCCGTCCATTTCGTATATATACACTTTACGTGAGTATACACGTAAGTCACCAACATGATTTCTTCTGAATATCATGTTTATTTTTACGTAATACACACACGTAAATGTACACACTGATATCAAACAAATTGTATTGCAGATGAAAAGGACGATTCTTCTCTTCTGTTTTTTTCCACGCAATGCAATTTACTTGTGTCAGTAAACTGTTTTTAATTTTCTGATTACGAAGTAATGTGTAACATTAAATGTATACTTGGGTTTTATACAAATTCGTAATATATGTTTATAATATATTGTATATTTTGATAAGTTTTATATATTTACATTTTTTGTACACAAAAGATTATTTACACATGAAGACTATATCTTAGTCATTTTTAAGCTTAAAAGTATGGCTATAGTATACAGTGTTTATAGGATAAGAAAAGAATAATTTGACACATTATATGTAACACAATTAAGATATAAATTTTTATATAAATAAAACTCAATGTTTAACTTTAAAATGGAGATGTTTATAAGATATGCATGTACATACATATGTATGTATACATATATAAATTGTAAGAAATAACAAAGTTTGCAAAAATTTATTTCGTCCAGCTCACTTTAGGTATATCAAAGTGTTCAGTTAAACTATCCAAATGTCGATTAAATTCCTCTACACGTTGTTTGTGTGTCTTCGAGGCTTTCTGCTTGATTCTTTCGGTTTGCTGTAAAGTGAAGTCAGGTTAGGTTAGGTTAAAATGATCAATGAACAATTATCAAAACATGTGTGTCATTTAATACTTTAGAAAAGCAAATATTTGAAGAACATTTGTACATATCTTACCATTTTCTCTTGCATTTTCTGAAATGCTAACTCTGCTTTAGTCCGTTTTAGCTCTACCTTTTGTGACTTGTCTTCATCGATAATCTTTGAAACTTCCACTAGCTTCTTTTTCTTTCCATCTTTGTCTTTTTTCCTGACAACAGAATTTCTAATAAGTGTGTGAATATTATTGGTTGTTATTTCAATAGAAAAAAAGAAGCAATATTGTTATTTAGAAGGCTGACAGATTAGCGTCAATCATTTAAGATAATTCCAATCCGCTCAAAATGAACTCCCGCTATCAAGGAGCTTCAATAGTTTCTTAAATACAAAAAGAACGTTCCTTAAAAACTTACTTTTTGCTTACTGTCTGATCGTTTTTCAATTTTAGAGCTCCTTTTGCAACATGCGAATACGGATCGTCGTTCGCGTCCGTGGAAGCCATTGCAAAGCAATGGTTTAGTCCAGGGCCACCAAACTGCCATATAAATTGTATGGGATCCGGTGGTACCAGCATTTGTGGCGCTCTCTGAAAAGTCTCGTTGGTAAAATGGAACTAAATTCCAACATGGCGTCCAGTGTTACACACACACACACACACACCACACATATATGCATCTAGGATAGGTTATTACACTATTTTATTATTTTTGCTTTAAATAAAAAACAATAGATAAGTTTTTTTTTTATTGTCATAATTTATTAAAATATATATAAATATACATAACGTACATATTATAAATAT